CAAACTTTTATTTTTGCATTATATTAAAAATTCATTTTACATTAATAAAATTATCCAAATATATATTTATATTATATAAAATAACCTATTTAATTTTTTTTTTTCAAAAAAAATATTATTCAAAATACAAACTCTAAGCAAACACACCGCAGTATATTTACCATTTTTTTTTTTTTTTAAAAATTTTCAAAGTAAACTCTTATTTATCATTTTTATATTATATTAAAAATTAATTTTGAATTCAAAACATCTTATTAATACTTATTTATATTAAATTAAAAAATTATTCAATTTTTTTTATTAGGTAAACTAAAATTTAAAACCAAATACATCGTTAAAATTTATTAATTATAGAATATTTTTAAAAATTATTAAACTTTAAATTATTTTTATTTTTTAAAAATTTCAGCAACATCCGACCTAAATCTGAATTTTCATAAGATGTCATTTTATATTTTTGGATCATATTTATTTTTATCAGTTCTAATTATATGTAATAAAAAATAAAATTTTAAAATATTTGTGAATAAAAAACTAAATATATTGTTTGGGATTTGTTAAGATTTAATTGTAATTAAAATTTGTTAATTATTATATTTTTTTGAAAGTGATATAATTGAATGGAAAAAAAAAAAAAGGTGACGGAATTGTGTCGGACGAACCGAGCCAGGTACGGACCGGTTCATTAGTGTGCCGGGCCAATCACGGGCCAAAATTTTTTGGGCCTATTTTTTTAAACCCAATTACAATTTTTTCGTGTAGTGCTAAGACCGAATTTTTGGACTCTCCTTATTTTTTCCACTTTTAAGTATATCATATTATAAATAGTAATATATTCTTCATTGAGGTAAAAAAGTCTGGCACACTTGTTAAACAAGCAATTTTCTAATAGAAGAATATAGAGTTTTCAGATATAGATTTGAAAAGAAATCCTTAAAATTCACAAATCAAATTACAGACCGCCACACTTTCTCTCTCTATAAATATACGACCTATTTTATATTTCTTCACATTCAAAACACTTACAATTTTTTCCTTCTCAATTTCACTCCTACTCGATCAAAATTCTTTCTCAGTTTCAATAATCAATCGACATTCAAGTTCTTCGAATCTTGAACATGGCAGAAGAAGGCTGCTCAAGTTACATAATCTTCGACAAACCCGAAATCGACATTCACTCGTACACGACTACCGCAGAATCCGGATTCACGATCACATTCAAAATCATAATGAAACACGTGGTAGAAGAATGGATTGTGTCCGAGGATTCATTCGCCCAGACAAGATATTTAGGGCAGGACAGAGATTGGGAAGCATGGGTGGTCTACGCTAAGATTAGGAAGGATCAACTATTCAACCGCAAAAATGCCACAAAAATTATCGATGATCAACTGAACCATTGCAACCTCTGCGGGTATCACCGCCGGATGGTGATCGCTCTTGCATTAGTAAAAGCTCATAGAGCAATTAAGTCCTTGAGTGATAATTCAAGATGGAATGCCGTCGAGATTCAATGTCCTATGACCGTGACACATTATCGTTTGAGCGAAGAGGGCGACGGCATGGTTCCCGCAAAGGAGTCGTCGATAGAGATGTCGTTGAGGCGTGTGGCGGATTCTACAGAGACTTGCAGTGTTTGCTTGAGAGAGATGACGGGCGAATGCGAGGCCGTGGCGATGCCTTGTGAACATGTTTTTCACGAAGATTGCGTCAAAGAGTGGCTGAGGAGAAGCCATTATTGCCCTTTGTGTCGTTATGAGCTTCCGACAGATGATTAAGCCGTCGGCATTAAATTCTATTGTTATATAGCCGATGGGATTTAATTCAATTCATTGCTGATCATAGTTGAATTCATTTTGTGTGATTACTTAGTTCTTTTTTTTTTTCTTTTCAAATACAAAATCACACCATTAATCAGGCAAACCATGATAGAATTTAGTCTTCTGTCTAAGTAAAAAAAGGTACTTATTTATTTGCAGATATGTAGTACGTATAAGTGACATTGTCGGATTAAAAGAGGATATGAAAAGTAATATTGCCGTACACAAACTAACGTCTTATTTTTCTATTTGGAATGTCCAACAATTATTGTCCTCTTTATATTTTTATTAATAAAATTTACTCTTTTACTCTTACTTTATTTACTTTATCATTTTCTATACACAAAATTAAAGATAAATTTGTCATTTTATAACAAAAACTCTAATCGCCTAAAATTGTATGTAAATATCAAATATAATATTAGAAAATGGACGGAGGGAGTAGTAATTTAATATTTGAGAAATACTCTTGGTACAAACAAATATTCCTTTGTCCCACGCATGGTACAAACAAATACTCTGTTAGGCCTAGTTTGAAAGTATTAAGTTTGACTGATAGTTTATCCAGTGCGCACTCGCGGGTAGCGATTGCGGGTTTTCATGTTATAAAAAAAATTTCTTCGTCCCACTCCAAAGGAATCTTATGAAATTTTACAGTAGATTAAGAAATAGTAGTATTTTATTGATTATGAAAGTGTATAAGAAATGTTGACATTTTGCCTCAAAGTAATTGTATTTGTAATTTAAGTAAAAATTTAAAAATATTTTAACATTAGTCTATGAAGGTAATTTGAGTTGGGACTAAGGAAGTATTTTTTATTTAAATAGACAAAAATAATAAAATAGATACATTTGACTATATTTAATTACATCAAGATAATATTTAAACTAAAATTTAAATAAAAAAACTTAAACTCAAACCAGAACCAAAACCAAAGATATTATGAATGTTTTAGATAATAAGATGTACATAGTGTGTTTGTTTTAATTTCAAAAATATTTTATTATTATTTAATTTATTTTGGTTCTCAATATATATATATATATAAACTATTTTTAATAAAATATTAAATTTAAATTCAATTAAAAAATTCAAAATCAAATACAAATCAAGCAAACCCATTAGAAATGAGCATATTTTATTTCAATTTTATTATTCAACCATATTTTAATGCATGATGGCTGTGTTACATCCACCCATGTCAGATTCTATAAATGTTAAATCTTCAAGTGTTAAACGATACAATTATTTTTGATTAACGTCTCAAATTTAGTCTTATTCTTCGCCCATTAATCGACTGACAGTATAAATTTCATTTCCTTCTCAATTCTCGATCAAAAATCTTTTTGTATTTTAATATTTGTTCGAGTTATTCAAATCTTGAGCATGGCCAACGAACGCTAATATTGTTTACATCGGAGTGTACGTGCGGAATTAACAACCTTCAGCACGTCCGATCAATACAATTGTTCATGTCGCTGTTTAATCTTGCAGACACCAATCGACTACGACTCCTATTTCACTTTCACCACCATTGGAGAATCCGGATTTACAGTAACCTTCAATTTCAATTTCCACATCGAGATAGAAGAATGCGTTCGACACAGCCCTATCGACCCCATCGGCATACTCAAGGCAGGTCAGTCGATCGACGGTGTGGACGTGGACCAAAATGGATCAATTCTTCAACCCTCGAAATTCCTCGATGATCATCTCCGGTCATGGCTCTTTAAGGAAGACGAGCGCCGGCTGGTGGTTCAGTTTGCATTGAGAAAGCCGACGACGCGATTAGCTTGTTGGCGGACGTCGATTCAAGATGGGGTTCCGTCAAGATTCCGAGTGATGTTTCCGTAAAACACACCCACGTTTTTAACGATGAGTCTCTGCCGCCGTGGATAGAGCTGTCGTAAAATGCGATTATAATTCCGGCGGACTCTACAATGACTTGCACTCTTTGCTTGGAAGTGATGACCGGAGAAGGCGAGCCGGCAGCAGCGATGCCGTATCGGCACATTTTTCATAAAATTGCATCAAAGAAGTGGCTGATAAGGAGCCATTATTGCCCTCTATGCAGGTTTGAGTTACCGAAGCAAGATTGTTGTATGGGAAAACAAAGTAAATTGTATAATCCTTGAGTTTTACTTTAAATGTATAAAATATTACTATTTTGTGATTTAAATTATAGTTATTTTACCTTTTGGATTGTAATAAAAATATTCATATTTTATCTTTTAGTAATAAAATATATTATTTTTGTATTTTTTATTTAAATAAGAAAAATACTCCATCCATTTTATATTTATCTATTCATTTATTTTTTTATACGAAAATATTTGTAATGTTAGGGAAAAAAAAAAGGAAATGGATATTAGGAGGGACCGAAAAAATTGGATAGATTGGTAAGAGACAGACGAAGTATAATTATTTTACATACAACAAAAGTACTATCTCTGTCGCCAAATTTATTCTTACATTTCATTATAGTCTATCCGCTGAATTTATCCCATTAATAATTTTGGTAAAGTCAATAAATTAATATTTAATTATTATTTTTCATTCAACTTTATTTATAACAAATACCACTAACTTTGTTGTCTTTCTTTATATATTTTAATTTCTAACTAAATTTCTAAAAATAATCCAACTATCATTTTTTCAATAAAATATATATTTCCTCCGTCCATTTTCTATTGTCCTAAAGTATATTTACACGGTTTTTTAGGTGATTGTCTTTTTGTTATGAATGGACAAATTTGTCCTTATGTGTACGGTAGAGATTAAAAGTAATAAATGAATGAAGGGTAAAAATATAAAATTTGTGTTTAAAAAAGGAAATAGGAGTTGCTGAACGTTCAAAATAGAAAAGTAGGACATTAGTTTGTGGATGGAGGGAGTATATTTTTTAATCTCGGTGTCGGACCCAATTAAGCTAATTTTAGTGGTGGGAAAAAGTATATCATTAGGTTACGTGGATTCCAACATTAGTAAAAAAAAAACAAGTAAAAGTGACTACTCATTTTCATAAAATACAATAACTTATATTTTTAATAAAATATGTTATTATTTTTTCAAAATATCTAAAAAAAGTATATAATAAAAATAAATATTATATTCTAGTGCCTTCAAAGGTTCATCGAAGAATACAATTTGATGCCCATCAAAATATATTTACCGCCGGCTTAATCATCATCCGTCGGTAACTCGTAACGACACGACGGGCAATAATGGCTTCTCCTCAGCCACTTTCTGACGCAATCTTCGTGAAAAACATGTTCACAAGGCATCGCCACAGCCTCGCATTCGCCGGTCATCTCTTCCAAGCAAACAGTGCACGTCTCTGTAGAATTCGCCACACGCCTCAACGACATCTCTATCGACGACTCCTCCGCGGGAACCATGCCGTCGCCGTCTTCATTCAAACGAGTGTAGGTCACCGTCATAGGGCATTCAATCTCGACCGCATTCCATTTCGAATCTTTACTCAATGACCTAATTGCTCTATAAGCTTTTACTAATGCAAAATTGACCACCATCAGGCGGTGATACTCGCACAGGTGCCAATGGTTCAGCTGATCACCGACAATTTTTGAGGCATCTTTGCGGTTGAATAGTTGATCCTTTTTAATCTTGGCGTAGGCCACCGATATCTCCCAATCTCTGTCCTGCCCTAAATATGTTCTCGGAGGAAATGAATCCTCAGAAACAAGCCATTCTTCTATCACCGGTTTTATTAAGAACTTGAATGTGATGGTGAATCCGGATTCTTCAGTAGTCGTGTACGAATTATTGTCGATTCCGGGTTCTTCATCGTCGAAGATTATGTGCTGACATATACATTCTTCTTCTGCCATGTCGAGGATTCGAAGAACTTGAATGTCGATTGATTATTGAAACTGGGAAAAAGGAGTGGAATGGAAAAAGTAAAAAATTGATTTCAAGTGTTTCGAATGTAAATAGATATAAAATATAGATCGTGTATATATAGAGAGAGGGTAAGTTTGGCTAGGCGAGGATATTCTGTGATTTGATTGGTCGATTTTAAGGATTTATTTCCTAATTGTGATATTATATTTTTTCAAATCTATATTTGAAATTAAAGAAAATCTCTTGTACAAGTATAGTGACTTTTACACGGTTATATTATGAGATATTATTGTCAATGGATGTTATTTATATAAATTTATAATATGATATACTCCCACCACTAATATATATTTTATATTTCATTAATTTATCTGTCTGTTATTTTTAATAAGAAAGTTTTAATTAGTTATTAACTCATTCTCTGTAATCGGTTTATAGTCTATTATAACTAATACTACTATAATTATAATTGGTTATATGTATTATTATATCAAAAATTTCGATACTTATTCGAAAATCAAATAATCAATACGTTTTTCAATATATAAGTAAATATTGAATATTTGACATTCAGTATTATATTCTTTTGAAAGACTGTTAGTGAATTTAATTTTTCAAATTATGAGACCAATAAGAGGGTTACGGATTGAAAATTTATTTTTCACAATTATATATATTATACAAAATAGGATATAATAAGAAAAAATGATATCATGAGCCCATCAATCTTTATATAATAACTCGCAATAAAAATTTCATTTCCTTCTCAATTCTCGATCAAATTTCCTTCTGCTCTCTAATATTAATTTCAGTTACTCAAATCTTGAACATGGCTGAAGAACTTCAATATTGTTTACATCGGATATACGTTAGGAATTAACAACCTTTAGCACATCCGATCAATTCGATTGTTTTGGCTGTGATTTGAAATCAATTTGAAAGGAAATATTGATTTTAGTTTTAGATGGTATAAAATATTACTTGTTTTGTTATTTAAATTTAAATATTTATTTTACTTTTTAGATTGTTATAAAAAATCTTTATATTTTATTTTTTAGTTAAAAATATACTATCTTCTTACTTAGGAACACATTGTTCTAGTAGCATAGATAGGTAACTTATTAATATATTTTATGTTTTGTAAATGACCCTTTTATATTTAAAATTAAATTTATTTTATATTTTTTCAAATGACCATTTTATTTAGGAAGACTGCATTATAGGTAACATAGATTAAGAATTTATTACTAGTAAATCATTATATCATTTTATTATTTTTATATGATTATTGTTGCTGATATTTTAAATATTTTTAGTATTATATTTCAATAAAATATATTATGTCCCTATTAATGTTTTTATTTAATTTTTGCTTGTTAATATTTGAATAATAATTATTATATCAAAACTGTAGTAGAAATTAAGAAAAACAAAAAAAAATAAAAAAATATTTTTATTAGTATCTTATACTAATATATTAACATCTGTAAAAAAAATTATACAAAAATAAAGGTATTTTTAATGTCGTGAAACTATGCACTTCTCAACATGCTCTGGTCGCCCATACAAACGAGAGTGTGTCAGCGTCATAGGACATTGAATCTCGACGGCGTTCCATCTCGAATCCTTACTCAATGACTTAATTGCTCTATGAGCTTTCACTAATGCTAAAGTGACGACCATCAAGCGGTGATACTCGCAGAGGTGCCAATGGTTCAGCTGAGCACCGACAAATGTTGACGCATATCTGCGGTTGAATAATTGATCCTTCTTAATCTTGGCGTAGGCCACCGATATCTCCCAATTGGTGTCCTTCCCTAAATATCTTCTCGGGGGAAATGAATCCTCGGAAACAAGCCATTCTTCTACCACGTGTTTGATGAAGAACTTGAATGTGATTGTGAATCCGGATTCTTCAGTAGTCGTGTACGAGTTATTGTCGATTTCTGGTTCGTCGAAGATTATGTACTTAGTCATACATTCTTCTTCTGCCATGTTGAGGATTCGAAGAACTTGAATGTCGATTGATTATTAAAACTGAGGAAGAATTTTGATCGAGTAGGAATGAGATTGAGAAGAAATAAATTGCAAGTGTTTCGAATGTGAATTGAGATGAAATAGATCGTATATATAGACGAGAGAGAGGGAAAGCTTGATATTCTGTGATTTAATTTGTGGATTTTAAAGATTTATTTCCTAAGGAGGATATTATGTGATTTGATTTGTGGATTTTAAGGATTTATTTCCTAACGAGGATATTATGTGATTTGATTTGTGGATTTTAAGGATTTATTTCCTAATGAGGATATTTTGTGATTTTGTTTGTGGATATTAAGAATTTATTTTCTAACTGTGATATTTTTCCTTTCAAATCTATATTTGAAAATTCAGGATTTTCTTTAATTAGTAAATTATTTGTTTAATAAGTATACTAACTTTAATATATCAATGAAGAATATATTATTTGATATTCGTATAAATCGATGTTATCTATATAAATTTATAATATGATATACTCCCTCGTTAATATATATTTTATATTTTATTAGTTTTTATCAATGATTTTTAACTGAAAAAAGTATCATTATGATTTGACCTTATTAACGTCGTTAGCAAATCGCTAAAGTAGATACATCAAATTATCAATTGAAAATTATTGGTGCTTTTGCTAAAGAAAAAAATTATATCCCACACGAAATAGCTATAGCTTTTGAGATTTGACTTTTTACACGTTATATACTACTTCCTCTATTATAAAATAATAGAAACAATTGAAATAGATACCGAAATTAAAAAATAATATTATTATGTTGATAATGGACGTAAAATTATTTTTTAAAGACTAAAATATACTTACTTTATTTAGTTTTCTGAAAAAAGTGAAGATAGTTTTTGTTAAAAAATGGGAAGCTAGTTACCAAAATATAAACGACTATTATTTTGAAACGAACAAAAATAACAAAATAAGACTTATATTGAAAAAGAGTATTTGATTACGACCAATTGGAATTTTCTAGGATGGCCTTATAGTTGGCCTTCTCTTTTAGGGTTTTGTACCAACGGTAACATATGTATGGGCTATCTATGTTACATCTATTGTCAACACCGTACTGATTAATTTCAATTAACATCAAGATGAGATCGAAAAAGCATAGATCCAAGTAATCTAAAGTTAACATAGAAGCATAAAGAAAATTGATACAAATAGAACACGAAAGATTAGAAAAAAGAAGAAATAGTATTTGACACCGAACTTCTTCACTCTTTTAATTTGCTCCGGTAACTCGAAACGGCACAAAGGGCAATAATGGCTCCTCTTCAACCACTCTTTGATGCAATCTTCATGAAAAATATGCTCGCATGGCATCGCCAAAACTTGACATTCACCTCTCATTTTTTCCAAACAAATAGGGCAAGCCTCTATAGATTCCACAGTCATCTCCACACATCTCAACATCTCTAACAACAACTCGATCCACTGCAACAGAGGCTCGTTGTCAACCAATTTTTTTCTAACAAAATATCACAATAAATATTTTTTAAATAATAAAAAATCTAAATCTAAATCTAAATCTCTGATTCAAATTCAAACTTCTAAGATATCCAAGCAGATTATTGAATTTATTTCGATAAATTATATTGATATTGAATTTGTTTGAATAACTATATTCTCTCGCAATATAATCATTTTTTAAAATAAAGTAAATATAAAACAAATATAAGAGAATTGATAAGAACATAAAATGTTTGATTAGTTGAAAAATAATTGGAGATAAGGCCACGATAAACTCAACAAATCTAAATCAAAACAATTTTATCTAAATTTCTAGATGACTGTTATATTTTGTATAATTTTAAACTTACACATATTACTAACTAAATTCGAAATTAGGCGCTACATAATAGGCATAACAATAATGATCTAATTTAACGAATATTTTTATTATTTAAATATCAACTCTTTAATATACATAAACACTACAAAATATACTAAATATAAAAAAATATTTCAAATTGAAATTCACCTTTTAATCTTTCTTCGGTAGCTCAAACCTGCATAGAGGGCAACAATGGCTCTTTATCAGCCACGTCTTGATGCAATCTTCATGAAAAATGTGCTGACACGGCATCGCCGCCGCCGGCTCGCCTTCTCCGGTCATCACTTCCAAGCAAACAGCGCAAGTCATTGTAGAGTCCGCCGGAATTATAATCGCATTTTTCAACAGCTCTATCCACGGAGGCAGAGACTCATCTAGGAATTTCGAGGCCTATTCGCTGTTGAATAATTGATCCATTTTGGTCCAATCCAATGTAAAACATATTGACGTTTGTTGGCCATGTTCAAGATCGAAGAACTCGAATAAATATTAAAACGCATAAAGAATTTTGAGCAAGAATTTAAAAGGATATGAAATTTCTATTGTGAGTCGATTAATGGGCCATTATTATATAACCATTGAAGAACCTATGATATCATTTTTTTTTTTTTTGTTAATATTCTATTTTGTACAATATATGTGATTAAGAAAATTAATTTTTCAGTTTTTCGAAAGAATATATATACGCAAATAAAAGAAAAATGTAAAATATTCAATACTTATACATTCAAAAAATATTGATTATTTGATTTTAGAATAAGTATCCAAAAATTTGGATATAATAATACATATAATAAAAATTATAATTATAGTAGTATTAGTTATAATAGACAACACAAACTGATTAGAGAGAATGGGGTCAATAACTAATAAAAAAAAATTAGTAAAAAATGGCATAGGAGATAAATTAATAAAATAGGTATTGAAATATAGATGTTTTTGGATGACAACATTTGATAATCAAAATTTTGTAAAATTTGATAAAAGAACATACTCTAAAGCCATCTCCATTTGTGCATTTTAACTCCATAAAGTTGCTACAATATTTTTACTACAATCGACAACTTTAGTTTTTACTCCGTTCTAAAAAGAATATTCTTCAAATATTTAATTTAATATATTATTTTAAACTATCTTCTATATTTACAATTAATATTATTTTTTGAATAAATAAACTACAAAAATATAAAATATGTGTTTATGGAAGAAGTATATCCTATTATAAATAACAATAATATATTCTTCATTGAAGTAGAAAAATCGGTACACTTGTTAAACAAGCAATTTTCTAATTAAAGAATATCGAGAGTTTTAGATATAGATTTAAAAGAAAATCCTTAAAATTCACATATCAAATTACATCCCACCAAACTTTTTTTCTCTCTCTCTCTCTATAAATATAAGACCTATTTCATATTCAGAACACTTGCAATTTATTCCTTCTCATTCCACTCCTAGTCGATCAAAATTCTTTCTCTTTCAGTAATCAATCGACATTCAAGTTCTTCGAATCTTGAACATGGCAGAAGAAGGCTGCTCAAGTTACATAATCTTCGACAAACCCGAAATCGACATTCACTCGTACACGACTACCGCAGAATCCGGATTCACGATCACATTCAAAATCATAATGAAACACGTGGTAGAAGAATGGATTGTGTCCGAGGATTCATTCGCCCAGACAAGATATTTAGGGCAGGACAGAGATTGGGAAGCATGGGTGGTCTACGCTAAGATTAGGAAGGATCAACTATTCAACCGCAAAGATGCCACAAAAATTATCGGTGATCAACTGAACCATTGCAACCTCTGCGGGTATCACCGCCGGATGGTGGTCACTCTTGCATTAGTAAAAGCTCATAGAGCAATTAAGTCCTTGAGTGATGATTCAAGATGGAATGCCGTCGAGATTCAATGTCCTATGACCGTGACACATTATCGTTTGAGCGAAGAGGGCGACGGCATGGTTCCCGCAAAGGAGTCGTCAATAGAGATGTCGTTGAGGCGTGTGGCGGATTCTACAGAGACTTGCAGTGTTTGCTTGAGAGAGATGACGGGCGAATGCGAGGCCGTGGCGATGCCTTGTGAACATGTTTTTCACGAAGATTGCGTCAAAGAGTGGCTGAGGAGAAGCCATTATTGCCCTTTGTGTCGTTATGAACTTCCTACGGATGATTAAGTCATCGCCATTAAATTCTATTGTTATTTAGCCGATGAGATTTAATTCAATTCATTTTGTGTGATTGCTTAATAAAATATTTTCTATACAAAATTGTTCACTTAGGTTTTTTTTTTTTTTTTTTTTTTTTACAAAATCACACTATTAATCAGGCAAACCAAAGATAGAATTTAGTCTTCTGTCTCAGTACAAAAGGTACATTAAAAGAAGGGATACGAAAAGTAAAAATAATTTAATATTTAGTTGAGAGATATTCTTTGTTTGTTTATGGATTTTTTTTCAAAAATATTAAATCAAACATCTATTTTTTATTTTTTTAATATTATATTAACAATCAATTTTACATTAAAAAATATCAGATCAGTACTTATTTATATCACATCATACAACTATTTCAATTAAAAAAAATTTACTATTCAAATCGCAACTCAAAATCCAAATTTCCAAACAAACACACCCTTACTAAAAACAAATATTTTCTAAAATAGACAAAAATAAAACTATATCACAGTACACCAAGATAATATTTAAACTAAAATTTAAATAAAAAATTTAAACTCAACCCAAAACCAAACGCATTATGAATGTTTCAGATAATAAGATATATAGTGTGTTTGGCTTTGATTTTAAAAATAATTTCTTATTGTTCAATTGATCCTGTTCTTAAATATAAAAAAAATACTATTTTCAATAAAATACTATTAAATTGAAATTCAATTAAAAAATTCAAAATCAAACAATAGTTTAAAACCAAATAATTGTTGTTATTATTATTATTTTTTATTTTAAATCAAGGAATGAAGGGAAAGAATCTCTAGAGAGAGAGAGAGAGTTGAAGAGGAAAGATTAGAATCTGGAAAGCAGAAATGAGAAGACATGCTAAGGGATTGCTTTCATTTTCTCCCTCTAAAAAGCTTGTTTGCTTCGCCCTCTATCTTTTATTTTTAGTATTGATGTATACATATATATATATATATATGGTCATCGTACTGTATAGCAACAGGATAGGCAATGGAAGACGAACAACAACAAAGCAGAAAAAGAATTAGAAGAACAACCTTGGACCAACTTGAAGAGGTCTCTCTCTCTCTAGATATATTCGATGATATTATCACTTTTTTCCAATATTTCTATTGCCATCTTATAATTTTCTTATTATAAAATTAAATTTTTGCAATTCTAGCCTGAATTTCTTGTTCTGAATCATTCATATTAGAAATTTAACTCTGTTTTCTTTTCTGTTTTCTTTTTTCAATTTGTTTAAGGAATACAATCCTCGTCGCAATTTTCTTGTAAAATATATTATTTCGTATACAATTATTAGTTAGCTAAAGCAAATTAAAACAAAAAAAATTAAAATCCTAACCAAACACACTCTTAGATGGAATAATAAAAATAAAAAATTAAATCTCAATCACAATTATATATATATTATAAAGTGATAATTGAACAATAACATTATGAGTTAATTTAGATGTATCTTAAAACTATTTTCATGTTTCTTCATTACTTTGAACATATAAAACTTTCAATAAAAAATATATATCAAATGTTATTGCTACTGTTATAAAATATATTTTTAACGTAATATTTTAAATGAAACATAGCTATTAAATTTGATATGTTGTAGAGATTTTTTATTCTTTGAATAGTACGATAATAAGATTAAAGATAATTTTGCCGCAATCTATTATAAATGTTTTATTCAAATGTATATTTATTGATTTGGATTGGTTTAATTAGGGTAGAGTGTTCCCGGAGACGTTTGATCGGACCGATCAAAGCTACTGCTGCTGCAACGGCCAAGATTGCTTTTGCAGCAGTAGTGAAGACGAAGATGAAGAAGAGATCGACGGATATTCCTACACTGAAATTCAATGTAAGAATTATATATATATATATATATATTTGTGTTATAAGATCGCATATATTATATTATAAATATATATCAGTCACCCCTATAGCATATATGCCGATTCGGTCTGTTGAAGCGTGTCGAAGAATTATATACATGCTTTCTATATGTATTTCAATATAATTTATTGTTACTTCTTAATTATAACCATTATATTCATATATGATTTATTATTACACATGCTGTAGCAGCTGGACCGGACGATGATTTCTCCGACTTTGATTGCGACTTCGATTACGAACAGGTCATCTATTACATTATAAAAATATATACGTGACTTATATAAACTATTATAAAAATTAAATTTTATGAATGTATGTATATTATATGTGTGCCTGTATTTAATTATCTGTATGTTGTGTGATTATTGATTGGCTTATTATCTCTGATGTTTGTCCATTAATTAGGGTTTCCAAGAAGATGAGATAGATCCTGATGAACTCTCATATGAGGTGAACCACCCACCCTAATTGCCTATATATATATATAATAATTAATTAAATAATGTTGTGTAGGAACTGATAGCTCTGGGAGAAATGGTGGGAGAAGAGAACAGAGGTTTATCAGAAGCTGACATAAATCGCCATTTACAGCCACTCCTCACCTCTAACCTTTCCTCCATTTTGCTCCTCCACAGGTACCTACCCTACCCTACTCAGCATTCATCTTTACATTTAGATCCATAACTGTTTATAATTAGTTTGTAAATTGAAAATTAAAAAAATTGTGTAAATTTCTTATTATTAATAAAATATTGCATAGAATTTCCTATGTTGAGGGGCTCTAATAACTGCAACCTCCATCGACTTATTAAGTTTAGGCGTATGAGAAATAATTTTATGCAATATTTTTAAAATACTGGGATACTTTGCACAATTTTTAAATAATAGAAAAAAATAATAGTACAAACTTTTTTAATTACAAATAAGTTATAAGTAATGTGGTATTAAGTTTATTTAGAATATGCATATACATATGAATTGTATGTTTTATTATAAGTATATGAAAAAAATATAAATACATTTTCTATGTTATTAGCATTATGGAGTATTTAGAATATAATATAGGATTGAAGAATATTTGAAATGTTATAATGAGATGAATTTGAAATGTATTGTTAATATATTTTAAATTAATTGTATTATCGAAATGAAAGTAATTACATTTAAGAGAATTATTTGAAACAATTTAGTTCATATTATTCAAGACAAATAGAGCCTTAATTTTGTTGTATAAGTCACTTTATTATTCTCGAAAGTTATGCACAAAACCCCTATTTTATGCCCGAATATATGAAATTTATGCATCGTTTTGACTAAAACATTAATGAATTATGATATGAACTTTGAGAATGGCATTTTATGCATTTATATTAAAACTCACGTAAATCTTTATCCAATTAGTTATGAATTCTATACTACATTTGATTGGCAAATCTAACAAATAAAAATAGGTGTGTGATATGCCAAATGGAGTTCCAAGAAGAAGACAAAGAAAGAGGGGAGAATTTACCGGTGACCCTCGACCGTTGTCATCATATATACCACAAGGATTGCATCGCTAAATGGCTTCGAATTAAAAAGGTCCTTCGACATTACTACAACCTATATACTAATATTAATTATACGAGAATATATTGTTTTTATTTGATACAATAAACTTCTAATATTTCAAAATTAATTTCAATAAAAATATATTTTATCAATTACGCCGTTTCGAATTCTAGCTACATCGGTAACTTCAGAAAACATATAATCTTTTTGTTCAATATTTACTTATGTGATATTCTAATCTTCATTCTCTATTGGTTTTTTTGCAGACATGCCCCATTTGCAACAATGAACTCCAAATTTCCAGCAATTTAATTTAAATATTCATGTCTTGTGATGTATATATAATTGATTCATTTAATACAAATTAACCTTTATTCATTGCCTACTCATTATAATATGTGCAACTTGACATATAAATTTTATACTCCCCTCCGTCCCACATCTCATGTCCATCTTTCCATTTTCGTCTGTCCCACTTATTTTGTCATTTTCTTTTTTTCGAAAAAAAAATTATATACTTTAATCTTATTTTAAAAAATTTAATTTGTAATTTTTATTATAAGATAATTATTTTCACTAATATATTTTTAATTATTTACTAATTATACTCCTCCTAAATTCCCGTATTTACAGTAAAACGGATAAAATATCCGAGACGAAGGGAGTATAACTCATTGTATAAATTGGTTCCTAATATTCTAAATCCTTGCTTCATGTCCTAATGCATGCAATATTTTACTATTTTTATTAACTAATATTTTGTAGTCATGTTTAATGTGCTAGCTAATATATTCAGTATTTTAATACAACTTACAACGAAATAATATCTTATTTCAATATTGTACAATATTCTTTCAACTTTATTTGTTTTATTTTCGTATACTATTTTAATGATAATACATATTATCGAAATGCTAAATTGAAGCAAAAGATACTAATAGTTTGACTATTTTAACTTTGTGATGAAAAATAACATATATATGTTCTACTTTGTTTGCCTAGTTGAATACATATTTTTGAATCACAATATGTTTACGGAGTCTTTCCATCGCGCTTCTGTACTCACTCATACGCACCTTGAAAAAAAGACTTATGGAGTCACCCATCCTCAAATTATTGTAAAGTAAGTACGCTTAATTCCGAAAATGAAGATGCACTATTCATTCGATTTAACCTATATTCAATTTCGGATGGCTTGACACCGGCTCGTCCATAGATTTTGTTGGACGATTTTGCTCTGCTTTTCTAAGCTAACATTGAAACTATAAGAGGAAGAAAGGAAGGTGTTATGCAAATTAGAAGTAATTAAATTATTTCTATATCTCTACATTAAAGTAAAACTTCAGATTAATTTTTGTAATTTAAAGATTATCAGAGGAGGCGAAGCATTGGTATGAATATAAGGGCATTTTATATATATATATATATATATAAACTTTTTCTTACATATAAAATATTTATATTATATAATTCATGTAATAAAAATAAATAAATACAGAAAAACGAATATGTGAGAAAATATTTTTCCTCGTCTCCATAAAAGCATCAATCCAATACATTGCCAGCAGGCCCGGCCCTGGGCAGGGCCATAGGGCCCTTGCCCAGGGCCCATTCCCTCTAGGGGCCCAATAAAGGGGCCCCAATAATATATATACACTCCTATATATTAATATATATTATTATTATTATTAATTTTTTTATAGAATATATAAAATAAAATTTTAAATATTATTTTATTTATAATTATTTTTTAAATAAATAATTTCTACATTAATTTTTAAATTATTTATTTGTATGTTTTAGTGTGTTTATTTAATGGTATTATTTTATATATTTTTATGAATTATGTAAAATTAAGAATATATGATAGAATAATATTTTGTGTGTTTTTATTATTTTTATTTCTATGTTTATATGTTTAAATTTGTATATTTTATTATATTTTTTAGTAGTATTTTTAAAATTTTGTGTATTATATAAACACTGAGTTTGTTTCTTTAATTAAATTTTCTAATTTTTACTATTAGAACGATGTGTTTGTCGAAAAAAATATACTCCCTATGTCCCATATCTATATATCCATTTCCTTTTTGCACGGAGTTTTAGAAATATTAGTATTATATTGGAATAAAGTAAAAATAAAAGTAAAAAGACTAAATTAACCCTATTAGTGTTGTATGATATAAAGGTAATGACATTTGTGTAATATATTGTAAATTAGAAGGGTATTTGTAATGTTAGGTAGATAGTACAATTACTAAAAAAAGAAACAGATACTTTGTTATGGGACAGACCAAAATAAAAAAAATGGATAGATTGTTAAGGGACGAAAAGAGTATTTTTTTTTTTCTCACAAACATCTCATCAAACATTGTTTAATCTCAAATTCAAACCAAACTTTTCCCTAATCCAATCAAAAGAAACAAACCCTTAATAAACATTGTTATTTGAAAAAAAATTTCTAAAGACTTTTGATTATTTATAAAAATATTCTTTAAAAAATATTAAATCAAATTTTTTTTTATTATTTATTATATTATACTAAACATGTCACATTAATTTTATATTTATATTTTTATCTTTTAATATATATAAAAAAATATTTTATTAATATATTTATATTAAAAAATATATAAAATTATTATTATAAAAAATATATTTAAAGACCAAATATTTTATTTTTTTCTCGGGCCTAATATAGGTTAAAAACGGGCCTGATTGCCAAGATCCCTTTTCTGGTTTTTTTAGGATTGGAGTGACTGTAAATGACAAATTTGTCTTTCTGGCGGTAACATTAACAATGGACTTAATAATAAATCCTTTTCCTCTGCACATATTTCCATGGCTCTCGATCAGGTGCTAAAAATAATATACAGCACCTGCTAGTCTGTTACCTGTATCTTTTATACGATGTCCTCTCTATAGTCTAACGCATACTATAACAAGTTTCCCATCTAATTAAGGTTATAAAAAGATTCCGATCTACATAGCAGCAACAATATAATGGCAGGTTTGTACGACAAGCAAGCCGAGTTGTACTCTCAATTCCGGCCAACATATCCGCCAGAGTGGTATGCAACGTTCGCCGGCTTAACAACTCGCCGCGCCCTCGCCTGGGATGTCGCCACGGGCAACGGCCAGGCCGCCGTCGGTGTAAGTAAATTTCATTCAATCAAATAGTTATTTCAATTCAAATATTCCTCGAGTCAGAGTCCCGTAAGGGATGATTAGGTGTCGGGGTGAATCCGCGATCTTGAAATGTGTTCAACCACACATGTAATTTTCCATTAGGTAAGTAGTATTTTCACGTTATCAAAAGTAACTAAAATTACGGTTTAGGGTTTAGAATTTTAATTTACCAGTGTCGATATCGTTGCGCGCATATGTAGCTGGCGGAGCATTACGAGCGGGTAACGGCGACGGATATAAGCACAGCTCAGCTCGAACATGCTATGCAACACTCGCGAATTCATTACCTCCACACGCCGTCAACCTTATCGGACGACGAGCTCGTGAGCATGGTCGGGGGAGAAAGCTCCGTCGATCTGATCACGGTAGCGCAAGCAATCCATTGGTTCGACCTTCCTCGATTCTACGCAGTCGCAAACCGAGTCCTGAGGAAGCCGGGAGGGGTCATCGCCGTATGGGGGTACAACGACATGCTCGTTTGCCCCGCAGTCGACGCTGCCGGTAAACGATGGTACGAGACAACCCAGCAGTATTGGAGACCGGAGCTGAGGCCATTTTTCGGAGGATACCGAACGCTCGCATTCCCGTTCGAGAGCGTGGGGATGGGCGAGGAGGGGAATCCGGTGGAAGTCGAGATGGTGAAGGAGTTGTCGTTCGATCAGTATCTCGGAATGATGAGGTCGTGGTCGGCTGTTAGGATGGCTATGGATGAGGGAATTGATTTGCTGTCCGAGGCGGCGGTTAAGGAGCTCACGGCGGTGTGGGGCGGCGCCAATCTGGTGAGGACTGTGGTGTATAAGGGCATGATGCTGGCCGGAAAAGTTAAGTGTTAGGATTGATGTCATGTATATGAATGAAAGGTATTGGTATGTAGGGAAATTTTCCCTTTTACATTGAAATTGAGACGATTTTTAAATTGAATTTAGGCTATATACGAATTTTGCACATTAAAAGATAGATAAAATTGGTTTATACAAAGGAACATGACCCACAGAAACTACTAAAGAAACAAGAACACAACTATGTGAGAATTTCAAATCCCACTCTGTAACTACATTTCAGTAAATCCTATTTATTCTGTAATCCATATGCTTATATCAAATCAGATCAGATAGCAAGATTACCTACATCACGATCAAAGTCATAGTCCTCTAGGCAGGCATCAACTTCGTCCAAACACAGCAGATAAAGGTATTAGGAACACAAAACAAACGCGTTTGAATGTCATTGATTAAAAATGAACTAAAGTTATATTCATAGCATGTAAGAAGCAATTACACAGCATGTCAGCCATACAAAATGTTGCCACCAATATAGTCCAGTTTAGAACACAGGAATTCTTTTGATAGTGTGTAAGTCAAGGAATTTGGATCCCAACTGCTACGGAAACCATGTGTCAAAGTTAATGTTTTAGGGGCTACCTGCCGCGAGTTGGGCAAGCATTAGCAAAGTGAGATGGATCGCCACAAACAAAGCACCTGCCTGATATGGGCTCGCCAGTAGCAGAGACAAATGTTGCATTATGTTCCCCTCTACTTCGGTTACCCCTACCACGAGTACGACCACCTCCCCCCCTGGAATTAGATGCTGATCTGTAGATGTTTTGGTGTGGGACTGTTCCTCCGCTGTTGGCATTATCTTCCCAGCTGATAATAATACAGAAAATTGTTAAAAAAGAAAGACTTGAGACAATTAATTTGTCCCACTGAGCCATCTTCAAACTTCCATTTAGAAAATGGCAACATCAAAACTATATTTGGTAGCAAATTAAGTAAGATTCATGACCAGAGCAGAGTGAGCGATAGTCAGGATAAACATATGATACACCCTACTGCAAGATAGATCCATCAAAAAGTAGGCATAGTGTGCTTTTACTACTGAGAATTATGTGGCACTCGAGATCCAAATTCCTGAAGTAATCTAATGTCACAAAAGCAATACTAGTGTTTGAATTCCATGGTTGAAATTACACACTTAATTCTTCATTTTAGGCTGGTGGAAACAAATCTAGTTTAGCCTGATAAATTAAGAATTTTTAGTTAAAACTTAATAATATTTATCTTCAGTGAGTTCTCACAATAAGGAGATGTTATAATTCTAAGTAAACTGTGCATCCCTGTCTCTGTACTGCCACTTCTATGTAATAGGATTTGAACTATACAGTGAAGTTGTGACAGAATTCTTATTTATTGATGAGCTATAGGGATGTTAATAAATAACATACAGAACATATGTTATTCATGTAAGCAACATACACGAAATATAACAGATATCAAGAATTGTAAAACCAACATGTTGGGACAGATAACAAGAATGTGCAAGAACTAATCGATAGTGCAGTTGTAAGGTGATCAATCATAATGACTTACACAAAGAAGTTGCAGCCTTGAGCTTGACATGAATAGAACTTCCTTCCTCTATTTGCGGCAGTATTTGCTGTGCGCAAATTGCAAGGTGCGCCACAGGAGGTACAAGGAATTGAAGACTGTCCTGTAGCATCATGTTAATAAAACAGTAAGAGAAAATAGATAATGATCAGATATCATTTAGCTCTAGGTGATGGGTTGCATGTCCCTGCACTATTAATTATTTCTGATGAATGGTTCAATACAATTTAACAAGTGAATTATCTTAAGAAAACCATGTAGTTCACTAATCTGGAAATTATGTGTGATGACCATTTTTGCCATTGTGTTTCCCTTTGCGAAAGAAAAGCTTCTGAGATGGAATGTCATGTTCTACCTCATTCCCTACATAGTGCCATGATAAACCTAAGAATACAAATGACTATCACCAATGATCAGAAAGAGTTGTTTCTTGCTTTCCGTTAATTGTGATGTTTATAACTGAGCGCGCAATGTTGATGATAAGATATTGTAGATATTATATTTATGAAATTCATCAAAGAAAAATAACCAAGTACCAAACCAAAAAAAATGACTGGTAAACTAGGAAAAATTAATAGATCCACAAACCATCTTGTGCAGCAGATCCATGAGCCTGTCTGCGTGAACTGTGGGAAGAGTAGGAACTAGTAGAATCCCCAGTTTGCCGAGTATAGTTTAGCCCAATATTACTTTGTTGACCATGTCTTGCTGACGGAGTATGCCCTTGACCTCTTCCTGGAAAAATTAATTGAACCTTCAGCGGAGAATAGGTCCATGCTTTGTAGCTAATTAAGAGAACTTCCATCTTGATCATAAACATGATTAAGCTACAAATTCTTTGTTAGTTGCTTGACCACAAAAATGTTTCTTAAAGCATCCCACGTATAAAATCAAGGTATTTCCAACTTGAATGGGTAAAAGAATAAGCCCTAAAAGAACAGAGTTTGGACAACCAAAAGTTTATTATCATGAAGGTAAAAGAAGATTAACCTATCTTGAACCACAAAGAATAATTTTTTCTATTTAAACAATGCTTAGTGATCCTCGTATGAATAGAATTTGAGGGAAAAATCTTATATTCATCATTAGCTTCCATGATAAAAAAAAAATTAATAATAAAAAAATAAAAAAACATAAGAGACAGATGGAATGATTGATATGGCAAGATCCATAGTTAAATTGAAACAAAAACCAGCGTGAAGAAGCATAATCAAATTCACTGCAAAAAACAAACACAACCCACTTATTCAGCTGCGGTTGCCGGGGTGTGACACTCACACGCCAATACTTGAAGATGATTCCGGAAATGGCAATGGTGGGAACATGCTCTCTAGATTACGGTGATTTGGTAAGTACAACCGATTTCAAAATTTAGATAGTAGGAAAAGATTGAAGAAACAAAATGCATCTTGAGAAGCAGGTTTAAGAACAAACTTGTTCTGCTTTAACAGCATGTGCTTTGATACCATTTTAGGAGGCAAAACAAAGTAGAAAAGATTGCATTACTAGTTCTTGATACTTAACAATAAACAGGTACTTATAGGCAATCTAAGTAGAAACGACAAACAAACCTACCACCTAGCAAAGCACACAACCTAACACCAATAAATATCACTAATCAATATCTAGCATCATACATAAAAATATTTTAAGCAACTCAAAAACAATACATACCAGGATTGCTGGAGTTTGTTCGGGAACCTGTTCCACATATTTCCACCAGCTGTCTCAGAGTGTTGTCACAACCACCAATGCAACCTGACAAGATATAATAGCTTACTAAGGGTGTGTTTGTTTGGGGGTTTGGATTTTGGATTGAGATTTGAATAGTAAAAAATTTGAATTTGAATAGTTGTATGATGTGATATAAATATGCATTGATGTGATGTTTTGAATGTAAAATTGATTTTTAGTATAATATAAAAAATGAAAAATAGGTGTTTGATTTGATGTTTTTAGGGGGAGGGGAATTTGTGTGAATAGTAGAAATTCACACAAATCCTTCAAACAAACACATAATAAGTGTATTTATGAATGGTCAAGGGCCCACATAGTGGAGGCACAAAATGTTACCAAACTGTTGTTGCATCATGGCATTTTAGCTAACTAAAAACAGTAGTCACACAATACCATATTATAGGTCCTAACAATTCAAATTCTACAAATATTATGCATTTGATTCCTATAGGACCAATTACTGAGAGTGACATGTTAAATTGTGTATATGACAATAGATATCCTCATAGTAGGGTTTGGGGTGTGCCCCGGCAAACCACCTTCAAAACATGGCACTTGTTGTTGCAAAGATTTAGAACTGTCAGAACGCTAGTACTTTGATTGCCATCACTGAACACATTACATAGAGGCTAATTGGTTACAAGTTCTCTGTGGTTGTAATAATTGGCATAGCATAATACGGGGCGAAGGCCGCACTTTCTTGAAAAAACAAGGAAGTTAACACTTCAGTTTGAGATCATTACTCATTGGAAGAGTAGATGCATTGTAGTGAAATATATTAAGGGTGTGTTTGTTTGAGGGATTTGTTTGAATTTCTACTATTCATCCTATTTTTTCCCCCAAAAACATCAAATCAAACACTTATTTTTCATTTTTTATATTATACTAAAAATCAATTTTACATTCAAAACATCACATCAACACGTATTTATATCACATCATACAACTATTCAAATTCAAAATTTTTACTATTCAAATCCCAACTCAAAATCCAAACCCACAAACAAACACACCCTAAATGGTACCAAGAATCCAGAGTGCAAATCTTACCCAAATGATCAACACTGTAGTTGGGTGGTATTTCAAGCCTGCGAAACTTAAACTGAATCATATATACTGGACCTGTAAACAACCTTTACACATCAGTTATTCACACATACATACACACATACAGAAAAAAAAAAAAAAAAAAAAAAAAAAAAAAAAAAGAGAGAGAGAGAAAGAAAAGGCTTAACAACACTTAATGAAATAGAGTGATGATAGAACAGAACTTCCAAAATTAATATTCAATATCAACAACCTGGAGAGCAGGTACTGCAAATAGTTGTAGTTACTGTGGCTTCTGATACAGAGCCTGGTAGCCAAAATACATTCCTACACTGGAAAGAAATAATAAGAGGGGTTAAATGAGATTTTTTTTAACATCAAAATCGCAGGTGAAAAGTAGTTTTATACAGCAATATTATTTAATATGTCAATAATCACACGAAGAGGTAGAAACCAATCGACATATCTTTGCCAGACTGCTGCTTGAATAAATTGAACTCCCCAGAACTTACTAACAAGAAATGACAGGAAGCTCAGCATATGAGACTCGAGTTCACACCAGTTCATGTTGAACAATTAAAGCAGTTCCACTACATGGTGGAGGATTGGATGTTTCATGTATAGCTGATATAAAATATGTCCAGAACTCCCACCGACAATAAGCAATTTTAAAGTTAGAGCAAAATGGGGGAGGTGATTGCAGTTTCAGGCCATGTATGCCTATGCACTATGGGGACAAGTAGATTTGAAGTACAGAAGGCATTCACAGGGGCCAAGCACACCTAATCTTTATTGCATCCCTGGCATCAGATCCAAACAGCAGCTAATTCTCAAACAGAATAAGAAATAGACCAACCCAGTATTTCCACCTTTAAAATGTCATTTCATATTTTGTTATCGCTTGATTGTTTGTTTGTCAATTCATGGATTTTCTGGTTCAACCTAGGATATTTGTAGATGTTTCCATAATACACGTTCAATCTCATATCAATCCACAAGTTCAAGGCATTTTCAAACAATTTGTTGGTCAGTGCATATTTTCTGAACATTTCTTTCCCATTCAATTCATCACAAACTTTGGCAGAACAGTGTCAGTACGAGACATCAAGAGAATATGATTATTCTCTTAGAATTTCCAGGAGAATTTACCTGTGGGAAGCCCAGGCATCCAACCATGAAGTTTCCATCCTGCAAAGGGAAGAGGATATCATCAAAGTTAAGAAGAGATGATAAGCACTATAGCAGTAACCTCCAGCTACAAGTCCAAATATTAAAACACGTTGACTTCCGAGCAACAGAAAAAGAAATTAACAAATAATAAGAAATAAATACATATGCATATACACACATACTGCAAGGGATACAAATTAACAAATACAAATATACTTATATAAATATGTACAATAAGAATGAACTGCTTGTGAAGTTTTGGTGTTTATAAATTTAAACTGATCAAACCCTCAAGACATACAAATCACAAACAATTTGTTCTCAGAAAACGTCCACACTCCATATTTTTACTTTACAGTTGAATGGTAACCAGCACCAGCTAAGCAGGTGCATCATGCATATACCGGTTTTTTCCTGAGCACCATATCAGATTCCTGACATAGACCACATTTCCGTACAACATCACCGATTGAATGCTGCTCATTACCATTGGCTCTGTTTGATCTTCATAGACAGCATACATGTGTCAGTAAAGGTCAGATCATTTTCAGATAAAAATGAAGTGCACGTCATACCTCTCAAAAAATATAGCCATGGCTTCAAAAAGCTTTGCTTTGTTTACTCTAGCCTGTAAAAGACATCTTATAGATTAAAAAAATAAAAAGTAAACTGGCAGGGTGAACAGATAAGAAAGCATGTAGCAGAAATATTATATCTTCAGTTGTATTAACATATCTGCTGATCAGGAAATCGTAAATTCAGAATGGATTACATGCTTCAATCACACACACATTAAAACAATAATAACTCAGACCATCAGTCCAACTGCATGCTCGCATCACAGGTCGTTAAACCCTCTTAATCGCAGAGAAAAAAAAAAAAGAACCCCTCTTAATTGCAGAGTCAAACATATATATGCATGCATAATGTACTTTGAAACTTTATTATAGTATTAAAGCAGAAAGGTCTTGTGTTTGAATCCCACTGAGTTACCCCCTAAAGAAAAAGTTTTAATTTGCAATGCTTCGTGAGAAGCCTGCAAGTGAAGGGGTATGCAAGTTGACTCCATATAAAATAAACATACAATAATGTATTTCAATATCAATTTAAACTTTTAGATAAGGTATTTACTTAACATAATCTAAGTTAAATAATATGCTTTGAATGTGGGGAAGAATGACATTAACAGAAACAAATATAAGATATGGTGCTTCTGATGAAGAGAGACAAGAAAGTAAAAAATGGTTGAGATACACAAGGGCTATCTCACATCAACAAAGCAGGCTTTCATTTGCTGCAGACAAGTGTCTAAAACTTCAGCCTTTCTCTTTGTGCCCATACTGACAGCTTTCATATCACTCTCCATCATAGCACGAAGGTTTGGTTTCCATAATTCATAACTGGTTTCAACAAAACCCAATGAGTTATTAGATTTTCTAATTACAGGGAATAATACCATTTGTTTATCAATCACATAGTACATTTTCACACCTATCAGCATGGAGTGCAACATGACACCCTGTCAATAATAAGGAACATATATTGATGCTGCACTGACACTATCTTATCATGTTTGTGTGAAATAGAGATAGTTCCAGGTTGAGATCTCATCCTAGCTGGCACGGTTTAGTTTGTAAACTTATATACCACACTATTCAGAAAGAAGAATGTACAAGAATTCATGCAAAACAGCATATAGGACAAAACAGGTATAAGAATAGCTCACCCCATATCATCATATCCCATAACAAGTGCCTCACCCTGAAATTAGATCAAGTGTACATCAGAATTTTGTGGGGACTTGGCAACATTTTAGGAATCCTTGCATGAAATAACCAGAGGTTACATACAGACAGTATTTCAGTAACTTAATAATATAATATTTACACGTTATGCAAAAATTTCACAAAAGTAATATTTGTTGGCGCAACAAGTATATTTACATGTCATGTTTGACACAAGGCATTATTAAGAAAATTTGTAATGGGTCTTGAAGAGATTATATATATAGATATATATATATATATATATGTGATAAGAGGGGCCATTTTACCAAAACTTTCACACTGTAGATATTTAGATACATTCCTAACATATAAATATTTACAAAGACAACCAAGGTAATAAATGTAAATACAGTTACAAAACAACATACATGCACCAATTGACACCTTCATATATGGGTAAATGAAATTTATTTTTCATATAATGGCCTTTTTTATTTTTTCCACGATAACTTTGTGTTATGTTTGGACTAATTTTACCAACTTCTAACCTGTAACTTTACACTCCCATCGTCCACTTATATTACTTCCATATTTAGTGAGGATATAGGCGTAAGGTGGTAGTGAATGAATTTATATGACATAAAGTAAGTACATTAGACAGCATAGTTCCCAACAGTAGCATCGCCATCCATTAGTTCTGGCCGAGCATAAACAAGTCCAATATATATAATTGTGTGTGTGTATCTTTCAATTCATACTTGGATCTGTGTCACTTGTTTGTATAATTTAGGGTAAGGGAAAATTCAATGAAGTCATAAAGAAAGAGTATCATGGAAATGGTAAACCAATTTAAACTTGAGAGAAAGGAAGAAATTACAAGTTTTGTAGGTGTGAAACGCATGCTTGAGTCTTTAGTTGCATAAAATCGATCAAGAAGCTTTTTTATATGATCATGCATTGTTGCATCTGTTCCAATACCTGCCTGGAAAATATTAAAACATAAGAATATACTATAAGAAATAAAACTGTTACTGATTTTCCAAAACCTTTCTGCTCTTCGAGAATATGAATAATGGAATACATTTACTTTTCTATCACAATATATAAGTTCCTTACCTTGTCCATACAACTAAGTAAATCAGCCTCACTTAAAAGAGGCGGAGGTCTGGTAACTCCTGAGTCAAGAGTCAGCGTTGTTGGGGAAAACTGCAGGAGCAACAAGAGCTAAACTTAAGTGATATCTATTCAATCTCAAGATTGAGAACATCGATGGACTACAAAGTGACCCCTACTATTGTTATAAGGAATATATAGTCAGTGTCCAGAATTCAACAAACATTGCTATGACATCATCCAGGAAACATGTTTCCATTTCACACATTAAACGGGCAGGATCCCAAACCTAATTATGTTATAATACACTCTTTCAAGCCTCGAACCATCTGTATTAATCAATCAATACATGCCATCTTTCATTAAAGTTCATCAATATATCTTAGCTAAGCATTTAACACCTGTTAGGATACTATGAATGGAATACATCGATAAAGTTCCGCTGACTTCCCATCCAAAGCTTTAAAGAGGGAGTTTGAAGTACTTGACAAGGCTGATTTTAACATAGTTCACAAAATATCTCAAGGGTGGATCAAGTCTAGAAACTAGAGAGGGGTAAAAAAACACAAAACCTAACTGTTTGGTAAAAAAACAAGTCCAAGTCATTGAGATGAAACATAATAGTATATAGAACCAAAATATAGACAATAATTTACAAGAATAAGTTCAAACCATACTTCATAACATGCAGAGTATCCTCTTGTTGATTATATAATTTAGATAGAGTTATATTATGATAGGATAACTAGTGTTATCTGTCTGGAGAGATTCATAGTTATTAAACTGACAATGTAATATTTCATAATGTGCCAACATATAAAGTTAATTTTAATGAAAAAAAAATAACAATTCATACATAATTCATGTTTTCTACAAAGCAGATACAAAGAGTACAATGATCATAGAAGAATATACCTGCTGCCCGTAGTTGTATGTTGGGATGACAGAACCTCCCCATGTTTCAAATCTATATACATCCAAGTAATTTTTCTGGACAAAAGTAAAACAATACTGAATCAAGCTGATGATGAGTCCAGAAAATATCTTAAATTATCTGATCCAATTAGCTGCTGTACTCGTCCAAAATATCAACAAGATGCTCAATTTCAAGTCTAGGGGAACACTCTATGCTATAAAGTGAAGGCATATAGACTTAGAAAAGGTAGCTATAAACCTTTATGCTTATATCATCATAATGTCTTATTGCTATAGAAGCCTACTTTATGCAGTCACTCTAGCCAGCAGACCATATTTCAGAAGAGAACACATATAACTAACTTCTTGTGACTTCCAAAGTCCAAAGTACTACTGTCTAAATAAAATAATGATAGATAATGATAATATACAATTGAAAAGAGAGAACAGATATAGCCAGAACCTCACTTGTGTCTGCTTACCAATAAGCATAAATTGTAAAATGTTTCAAGAAAGCAAGGAAGTAGAAGTTTTAAGCCTTCTCTCATAAATGTAAAATGTTATTTATTCATTTGTTCATTTTCGGAAGAGAAAGGGGTTAGGAAGAAATAGCCTATAGGAGCTACCCCGAACATAAAACTACATTTAACCTTCAATACCACTATAGATATAGTTAAATCGTTGATGTTTCCAGACAAAGCATCTCTTCCAAAATAGATAAGTATTAGGAAAATTATATGTATAAAGAATATATCTCTTTATGAAAATTGGTGGAGGATGGAACTTAAACTAAGATGATGTGAGCAAATGAATGTGCAAACCCCAAAGCCTCTGATCACACAAACAACTCAGACAATAATTCACACCAAAGAGCCTGAAAATATAGAAACTCACAGCAAGTATAACTCTTCCAGATGCAGAAAATTGTTCCCCAGCTATGTCAATTTCAACTGTAGTTTCAGCACCTACGGCTGGTTGAGAAACACATGCCAGGAAATGACGAACAACCAATTCATACACTTTCTGGTACAAAGTGAATAAAAGTTACAGATAAATTCACTTAATGTAAAAATGGCAATATGATCTATCAGACCACAAGTAATACTTCAACGGAAAGTGGTACCAACATGGTGATCCTGGCTCCACCTGGATTCCCCAGCTGAAAATTTTGTTGGGTGTATAGGAGGGTGGGCTTTGTCATCATGTCCACCAGCGCTTGGATTTCTCCAAAGAGCTGCTTCAGGATCCAGCAAGCGCTGAGCATATGAACCCCATGTTGGATGTTCCTGCTGTTCCAGAACAATTGTCTACACCAAAGTAAGAAAGAAAGTTAGCTGAGTTCAGGAGAATAAGATAAAAGCAGTCTGACAACTTGAATTGCAAGAAAGCAAATGAATGCTACTGCTGTCATCTATTCAAATGCTAACATGCCTTCAAGTCAATGTCGGTTCTCAAAAAATGCTAGAGTCCCACAGTGTCATGCCCAAGGATATGTTTTCTTTTTTTTTTTTCAGAAAACTTTATAATCCGTCTTCCAAAATATTTAAAATCAACGGTAAACGTTCAAATGGGTGCAATATGTGTGGAAATAAGTTTTTATTTGAATTTTCCTATCACCAAACAAACATTACACCGACACTATGCATGTCTCAAAAGGGGTCATGCTTATCAAATGAATTACTATTGTCACATGTACAAGGAAATTACACGCAAATCTGTTCTCTCGGAGAAGCAGTCAGTCTCTGTACGAGGATAACTGATGAAACCAGCTTGGTATAGATCTTCTGCTACCTATTCGGGAAAGCAAGTATAAAAGTTAGTTGAAGCTAAAATGGCTTGGTTTACAGTATAAATAATTGAACCCTTATAGTAAAAAATAACAAACTAGAGGTAGCATTGAATCCTGAAGTCTTAAAGGACATTAAAGCAATTTCTGGCACCCAAAACAGATATCCGAAATTACAGATCAAATATACTAACGACCTACAGGAACAAGCAAGCTGACCAAACACTTCAATGGCCATGAAAGGCTTGTTTTCAAAACTTATCAGAAGAAAATGAAGGCATGTTTCCTGGATTAACATATTAAAGAATCCTTGTGGCTATTAGGATTACTGTTAGTCTTCAAATAGAAAATAACAGCATACAATCTTAAATATATTTATGAAATATTGAAAAGCTTTAATGGCACTCAAAAACTGGCAACAGACCTTATGTTTTACTTTTCATGAGATGATGTATTATTATCAGAGGCAACAAGTTTGACCTATTGACTTCTAGCAAAAACTAGGGAATGCACTGCAGTCAGGCTAGAAATCAGGGTTAATACAAAAATAAATGACAAGAATAACATACAAAGCATTCTTAACTAGTAAAATTTAACCTTCATAGTCTGTTCCGAACTCATTCTGAAATAACGAGAAGCACGCTTTTCAAGCTCAATTGTACTTAGAGGATAAGGAGGGTATTTAAGCTTCTCCTGCTGTTTAACATTTCTCACCTGAAAGTGAAAATATAACATATTTGACAATCCAGCAAATGGGTAGAAGCTTATTGCATATTAATTGGAGTTTCCATAAACACTTACAGTTGCAATGGGCTCTAGAACACACATTTCATATAGTATAGTTGCACATGTATAGTCAAACAAATGTCCACGCCTGGTATGTGGCAACCATTAGGATCAATATAACCGATTTTATTAATGAGATAATGAAAAGATAAACAATTATTACATCCAGGTAAATGTAGCAGTGCCTTCCTCCGAATTATGTGTGCAGTTGATAGTCCAGAACTCTTCAGGCTCATGTGATTGCACTTCCCAGAACCTCTCCACCACAAAACCCAGAGTAGGAAACTGTAAAAGGCAACTATTAGCCAGAAGGAGAATAAGACAGCCAGGCTAATATCCATGGAACAAAGAGACATTAAACTTCAAAGATAAACACAGGAAAAGAAAGTATTAGAATGTTCACTTGAATTATCTTGCTTCCTAAACAAGAGGGGATGGCATTGTTTGCACTCACCTGGCAAGGACCATAGCTCAAAATAACATTTCTGTCATCTGTAATGAAATCAAGAAGAAATGCATCTCTCAAAAGCATGGTCTGAAACCGTGTGAAGGAAGCACCTATCCGAAGATCTATTTCCTGCATGACATAGCCATTAATTTTGAATCATTTCATTGCACCCAAAATACTAAAATTTGTAAGATTTCAAAATTCACAGACAACACCAAGCAATAGTTTAACATAGATAAATAATAAAAGTAAATTATACTTCTTCCGTTTCATAACAAATGATACCATTTCCATTTTAGTTTGTCTCGTAACAAATGATACATTTCTAGGTAAAGTTTACTTATTTAATACATACTTAACAAATATAAATCAATTTAATTAACTTTATAGTATATAGCATCATACATCACGTAAGACCACTCAAAACCCCTTTATTTCTATCTCTTCAATAAACAAATATTTTTATCGATAATTGAAACTTTCCCGCTTTTATAAAATTAGTTTATATTAGTTATAAATAAAAAAATATTATACAATATTTTGTTCTCTATCATATCCATATTGCATACTCCCTTGGTCACAACTCAAAGTACCTTTTCTACCATTTTCGTCTGTCCTACTTCAAAGTATCATTTTCCTATTTTAGTAAAAGTAATTATATACCAATACCAAAATACTTTTAACTTTTACCTAAATTAAAAACATACTATTACATATAAATTACTTTTTACATAGGCAAAAATTTCAAAACTTTTTGCACATTTCTACTAACTAATAAAATATTATTATTTTTTAATCAGCTGCTAAATCCCAAAGGTCCCTTTTGGACCATGAGAATATTTTATTAATATATAATTTTTAAAATATTTAAATATATATTTTTAAATTTCTTTTAGTCATATATATTATTTCTTATTTTAAAATTACTATCAATACATTTTACATAAAAAAAAAAAAAAAAAAAAAAAAGATAATAATGATAATAAAATAATATCATAACATATTATTATTATCAAGTAATTAAATATCATCACTTTAAAAACTTTTCAAAAATCAACACATATAACAAAACAAGGTTTCTAATATCTCAGGTATGCAAAAATGTGTATTCAGTTTCTAGTGGCTCACTTGTCGAACATCAACAGCATCCGCAAACAATTGATTAGGCCGAACCAGATGCTGAGCAGCATAATGAATTTCTCTGGGGATAACAAATTCGTCAATTAGCATGAGCAAAAGCAGACGATAAAGAGTAAGCAGAAGGTGCAGTTGTAGAGTAGACTCAGCAACAAAAACCTGTCGATAAGGGCAGAGAAACGAGCCCTCCAGGTGTTGAGATTCCGGTTTGCTCGCGTACAAACTTCTACTACCTCAAAAGCAATATTTTCTCCCTCCCTATCGCAATCAAGCCACAAAATAAGCCACTCGCACTTTCTTGCTTCTTCTGCCAATGTCTTTTCGATGTCCAACTTATCCTTATTAAGCCACAAGGGTTATCATCATTCATCAGCCTTTTCGATCTTTCGTCTCCAGCATATATTATTTTTGAATCAAACTATATTACCTGCGGCACAAATTTCTTGACTGGAGCATGGTAGAGATCGACGGGGTCACATGAGTGCCACTTGCGATAACGCTCCTCGAATTCCAGTTCCATAAGATGTCCGGTGACGGATGTGAAGGACATGTGGAAGTGCTGGTTCTGAGCGAAGTAATTGAATTCGAAAATTCTGTTGTATCTTGACCGCCCATCGCGGACCCTCAGCCCACCGCTTGCTGGATTCTTCGAGAGTATTTCCGATACTGCTTTAGCGACGGATGGCTTCTCCGCCACATTCAGCGCCCGTATAGGCCGCCGGCCGACGCCCGCCATTTGGAAGCCCTCTGTGTGAAAGAGTAATCTGAAGGGATTGGGAATTTAGGGCTTTTCCCGCCTTTTTGTTGAGACCAACCATGGTTTGACTATAAGGCAGTAGTTGAATCTTATGAATTTTGGATTGTTTGGGTGGGTTGCTTTGTTTTACATTTTGATATTACGGAGTATTAAGGGCGTGTTTGTTCGGGGATTTGGATTTTGAATTGGGATTTGAATAGTAAAAAATTTGAATTTAAATAATTGTATGATGTGATATAGTAGAAGTTGATGTGATGTTTTGAATGTAAAATTGATTTTTAGTATAATATTCCTTCCGTTTATAAACTAATGTCCTATTTTCCTATTTGAGACGTTCAATAACTATCGTTCTATTTCCTTTTTAAAATACAAATTTTATATTTTTATCATTCGTTCATTTATTACTTTTAATCTCTATCACTTAAAAAATGCAAATATACTATAGGACAATAGAAATTGAAAAGGAGTATAAAAAATTAAAAAATAGGTGTTTGATTTGATATTTTGGGGGGAAAAAATGGAATGAATAGTAAAAATTAAATCCAATCCCCCAAACACACACCCGGAATATATATATTTTTTTTATAAAATATCGCATTAATTTTAGATGAAGTAGTTCTTCACCCTTATATAATAGAGGAATTTTCATATATTAACTAATATGGAACAATATTCAACGCGCACATGACAATTATGCAACTTGTTTAATTAAAAATAAATAGATATTATATATAATTTGTTTGATTATAATTTAAAATTGATTTAAAATAAATTATTAATTTAAATATTTTTAAAACATAATATTTTAATATGATAAATTATTAAATAAAATTAGTATATTCTTACTAATTGTCGTACAAAATGAATAATATTAATTTCATTTTAAATTAACAAAAAACCAGGCTTATAAATTATGGATCACACAAACCCCTAGGATAAAAACCACAATAATATATATAGTTAAAAATTCGAATTGCAATTTACGTGGGTATACATAAAATCCAAAATTAAAAAATAAAATAAAATAAAATCTATATATTCAATTAAAATGACTTGTTCGTTAACATATGGTCCATTAATATATTAGTGGCTAAATTGAAGAAGCACAAATTACTATTTGAGGTGAAACTCGCCGCTAGCATGAACTTGCTTCACTTGTCTATCATACTCGTCGTCTTCTTCTTCTTCTTCTACCTCCTCCTCGTCTTCCTTTTCAATATGATCTTTTTTTACTTCTTCTTCTTCCTCCTCTTCTCCTCCCCATCCGAAGCCCAGGACCGGCCTGGATGACAGAGGCGGCTTTCGGGCTTCGCTCACAATTTTCATAATCTCATCGATGCTTTGGAGGGAGAAACTAGGATTGTCTCTATTGAAGTAAACTGACTGGTTTGATTCCGAGAGTTCCTTGGGGAGATTCTTCAAGAACCATGGATGGCTCTTTATCTCTTTTATGCTGATTCTCTACATATATATATATATAGTGATACTATTAAAAAGAGATGTGGCTAAAGTCATGGAAAAGAAAAAAAAACACCAAATTAAGTATGTACAAGGAGTAGCAAATCCGATCGGCCGATCTTTTTTGTACTGATCTGACCCAACCCGACAGCATTTTCGAGCTGGGTAGGACCTGAGTACGGCCCGGTTCGCGAATTCAAAACTATTATTTAGTCCAACAAGTACCAAATTATTGAATTGTATAATTATTTTTATGTAAATTTATTTGTTAATATATTTATTAATTATTAATTTTTAAAAAATAATATAAAGATTGGGCCGGACCACGCACAGCCCAACTTTGATGGATCCCACATGGCCTAATTTAGACTTGTGCCGGGTCAAGCAGGGCCCAGTTTGCGAATTCAAGACTATTATTTAGTCAAACAAATACCAAATCATTGAATTACATAATTATTTTTTATGTAAATTTATTTGCTAATATATTTATTAAATTATTATTTTTTAAAAAATTAATGTAAAGATCGGGCACAGCCACGCACAGTCCAACTTTGATGGGTCTGGACACGACCTAGTTTAGACTTATGTCGGCCCAAATTCTTTCGAGCCTGTTTTTTTAGATTCGATTTTCTGTTGTCGGATTCGAATTCTTTTGGGCCTATTTTTGCCGAAACTAGTATGTATAATATACCTTAGAAGAATTGGCTACAAAAATACGAGAGAGCATGTCCCTGCAATCCTGAGAGACGTGGACGTAATCTGGTATTTTATACTGCGCAGCCACGATCCTCTGCATATCAACTAATTTAATTAATTAATTGGCATATAAAAATCATCCAACATGAAAAAAATGAATAATATTAAACAATGGTGAGAAAATACAGCAGGGATTGTATATATGTGTACTTACGGAAATGGTTTTCCTGAAGTTCTTAGGGTCGTCAGGATCTTCGAAGGGGTAAGCTCCAACAAGCATTACGTAAAGAGTTACCCCACAAGACCACACATCTGCCATCTACACAATATATGTATATACAATTAATTAATTAATTAATTGATACTAATATTATATAGTAATTAATTAATTAATTAATTAAGTAACCTTTCCGTCGTATTCTTGGCGGGAGAGAACCTCCGGCGCGATGTACGCCGGCGTTCCGACGGTGGACTTGGGCCTCGAGTGCAGCACCGACGACTGTATGAATATCACGTGATGAGTATGAATCTCTCTCTCTCTCTCTCTCTATATATATATATATATATATATATGTATATATAGAAGATGCATGATTGTGAGACCTTGGAATAGCCGAAGTCGCAGATCTTGAGACGGGGTGCTGGGCTTCCATCCAGCAGTGTGTTTTCCAGTTTCAGATCTCTATGGCATATTTTCTAATATATATATATATATATGGTGACAGAATTGAATGTTTTAATCAATCAATTAATTAATTAATTAATTGATTGTAGTGCAGTGTAGTATGTTACCATGGAGTGGCAGTAGCAGACTCCAGAAATCAGCTGCTGAAAGAAGTATCTAGCCTGCACCAGCAGACCAAGAGTTAATATATATATATATATATATTATAATACTCCCTCCATCCCGAAAAATTAGCTCATTTAGATATATCGAGTAAAAATATATATATATTTTATTAAAAAGATGAAAAAAGTAATATTTTTAAAATTTTAATTAATAATTAAAGATAATGAAAAAATAATGTAATTAAATAGTGATTTTTTTGATTTTTTTTTTTTAAATGTAGTAATGGGTAAATTTAAAAGTAAAATTAAATTTGACTGATAAATAAAGTATAAAATAAAGAGGTGTATTAGTAGTAGTAGAGAGACCTCGTCCTCGCTGAATCTTCCGGCGGTGCAGATCCGGTCGAAGAGTTCACCGCCGGCGGCGTACTCCATCACGATTGCCAGATGTGTCGGTGTCAGCACCACCTGCACAGTCATTATTAATTAATAAATAATATGAGTTTGTTCGTTCTTTTATTTTTTTTTTTATTTAATAAAAACTTGACAATTGTAAAATTAACTCCTACCTCTTTGAAACGAATGATGTTAGGATGGCGAAGTGATCTGTGGTTAATGATTTCTCTGGCCACATTTTCATCAATCTGTGAAATTAACATAATACAGTATATAAATAAATAAATAATAATCAGATCATTATATATATATATATATGCATCAATAAAATAAAATAAAATAAAATAAAATGAAAGTAATTATTAGTATTTATAATTACCCTGTGGCCACGTTGGATGTATTTCATGGCGACGAGCTCTTTGGTTTGTTTGTGGCGTAAGAGTCTTGCCACCCCAAAATTCCCTGCTCCCAAATCCTTCACCAATTCATACTTCTCCATCTCTCTCTTCTCTCTCTCTCTCTCTCTCTCTCTCTCTCTCTCTCTCTCTCTCTCTCTCTCTCTCTCTCTCTCTCTCTCTCTCTCTCTCTCTCTCTCTCTCTCTCTCTATAATATATACGAATTAATGCTTCTGTGTGTATAGTTTTGCAAGTAGTGTAATGGGTTTTTCTCGAGCTTAGCTTTCTCAATATATATATATATATATATGGTTGAATTTGAATAATCAATCCCACTCAACAACTACTTAATTACGTCTCTCTCACTCTATATGTATATATATATAAACAAGTACACGTCGGTAAGAGATGATCTGGTTGTACGAAGATGGACTTGTGATAGTGAGGTACGCCTTTCATCTCTTGTATGTCATATCTGGTTCGACTAGTATGATTTATTTTGTAAAGTTTAATTTGCAAATTAGTTAGACTCGGCCGAAAATTTATCAGAGCATACACGAAGGACAATGGCTGCGAATTCTCACACTATAAAAAAAATATATATATATTAAAAAAAAATGATTTAATTTTCAATTTAAATAACATTTTGATAAATTTTTTTGTAAAATAATTTTTTTTAAAAAAAATATACAAAATTCAAATAGTAATTTTTTTAAAAAAAAAAATTAGAAAAACATGCGGAGACAAAAGAGATCTTAATTATAATATTCAATGAATAATAGCGTTGACCATATAATTATTGTATAGACTTTGTTCACCTGCTGTGTTTGGTTAATTGACGAGTTTTTATTTTTATTTTTATTTTTTGAAATTTTCTTGTTTTATTTGTTTTTGTATGTGGTCATATTTTCAGGTTTAAAATTTCTAAACAAAATAAATACTGCATCCGTAAACTAATGTCCTATTTTTCTATTTGGAACGTCAAAAAATAATTATCCTTTTTTTTTTATTTTTCTACATTGAATTTATTATTTTATCTTTATTTTATTTATCTTTTTATATCTATACACAAAATAAAGAGTTATTTTGTCAATTTACAACAAAAAAAACTAATTACCTAAAAAAGCATGTAAATATTATTTAGGATATTAGAAAATTGACGGGAAAGCATTATGAAATATAATGATTAGCATTTGAAAATGAATATAATATTTTTGGAAATAATTCGAAAAACTAAATACTAAAAAAAGTAATATAACACAAACAGAACATACTCAAATATATTTTGGTCTAATTAATGGATTGAAAATATTGAAATAAATAAATAAATAAATAAATAAATATATATATATATATATATATAATTATAATGCGGTACAAAGAAATAAAATAGATAAAATGAATATTCACGTGGGGGTGGCGGAGGAGAGCATGGGGGCATATGCATGCATATCAATCAACATATGCATGTGCTCTACAGTCATTTCTTTCTCCTAAATCTATCTACTTATCATTGCAAAAAAAAAAAAAAAAAAGTAATAATAAAATGTTGAGCATATAATTAAATTAATATTATTTTTATTTAATAGATAATATCAAAATATATTTAATTCCTTCAAAAATCGATTTTGATTTAACTTTCACTGTACTCAAATAAAATCCTCCAAACAAGTTATCCGTGTTGACTATCGTTTCAACAATCTTCAATAGTATAATTTGTTTATATTTTATAATAAAAATATATTATTATTTTTTTAAAAAATTACATCAAATAACGGTTTCATCTAAACATGGTTCGTCTTGTATAACTTGTTTTGTTGAGTATAATTTACAGAGTATTAAGTTCGAGTAAAGATTTATTCAGTATGCTTTTTCGAATAGTGGCTACGGATTTCACATTATAAAAAAAAAAATTAAAAATATCACACAAGAGATAACCTAATTGTATAGGACTGGACTAGTGACATTATATTTAAAAAAAAAATATTGCAAAATATCATATGAAATAATTTATTTTATAACAATAATAAGTAAAAATAAAAACAAGAAAAACACGCACACACAAGTAATTGGATCTCCTAAAAAGGCGGTATACGAGTTATGAACGCATGAAATGGATGCCTATTGCCTACTGCCTACTGCCTACTGCCTATCATATTGACTTTTTCCTATAATTAAATAAATAATTAATTTACTCATTGGTAGACCTTAGCTTAGCTTAAAGACTTGGACATGTGACGGCACGTGTAGCTGTTCACCTCCGTCTCCATCTTGGTTCGCCTCATGTTAGCCCTGTCACGTTTCTTCAATATTTAAAGTAATACTGTCTTTGTCCGGCTTTAAAGAATTCATTATTTTTTTTTTTACCGTATTGATTTTTTAATATTAATTATAATATTAAAATATAATATAAATTAAAAATAATTATAAAAATATTTTTATTAATATTTTCTAATATTTACAGAAAAATATTTGTAAAAAAAATTATATAAGCATAAAAATATTTTTAATATTAAATACAATGATATAAAAATATTTTTAATATTAAATATAATGACGTAAAAGATAAATATAACTTTTAAGGGCGAACAAAGAGAATGCAATTATTAATAATATACTTCTTGTTCACAAAAATTAGCTTCATTAGAGTCGGTGTGGTCATTAGAAAAAATATATTTTATTAAAGACAAAATAGTTTTTGATATTTTTAAAAATTGAGTTAGAAATTAAAAATAATAAAGAGAGAATATACATACATATATATAATAGTTAAATATTGATTTTTTTTTAGTTTATTAAAATTGGTAATTGATAAATTTAATACAGAGGCAGAACTAAAATTTAATGAGAAATAGATCTAAACAACAATGTGTGGCAAGTGGACCTGGAGGATAGATCACAAGTTGACTTCTCACACGAACCAGGTCATTCCTTACCATACCATATATTATTGAAAATTATGTTATATGATGTTAATTCATGTATTATATTTGTATTATGTTAACATAATTCATATATTATTTGTCTTTATATCGTATGTTGTCCGTTCCTAGCTATATGATGCGTTGTTTGAGACTACGTTAAGTATTGTCAATATGTGTTACATTTATATTATATTAACATAATTATGTATTCTATATCTTTATATGGTGTGTTGTCTATGTTTATACAATGTATTGTCTGGCTCTATATCGCATATTGTCAATTCTTATATATGTGCTGTTTGCCTTTCTACTATGTGATGTCTATTTATTATATTATGCTGTGTCCGCATTACAGTGATTTTTGTATATCACATAGAACGACCGTCTACTTTTTTTAATATTGTAAGCTCCATATTTACTTAAGGAAGAATACCTATTTATGTTTTTTTGATGCCCAAAATCGAAAACATGACTATTATTAGCCGAAGTAAAGAGTAAATATTGTAATTATAATTTGGATTAAAGCGGATTTTATCATATTGGAATGGTATTTGGGTAGGTTTGATTTTGATTTGAAAACTAAATCAATGTTATTTATTTCATATATTTCATAGTAAAAATAAAAAATTGTATTTCATAAAATATTATTTAAATTACAATTCAAATAAAAAAAAAAAGCTCAACTTTAAACCAAAACCAATACCAAAACCAAACAACCCTTTTGTTTAGTATGTTTGGGAGTGTTCCAATTTGATGTTTTATATTATTTTAAAAATAATTAAAATTAGAATAAAATAAATATTATGTATAATATTTTAAATAGCAAATAAATTTATCCAAAGTGCCAAATCTTATTCTTAAAAACCTCTAGCTACGACCTTACGTAACATTTCAATGGCGGCAGGCATTAACGTCCTTAGCTGAATCTATACAACTTTATCTGCCATTCACAAACCATATAATATATAAGTTATCAGATGTGTGTGTATATATATATACATATATATATATATATATATAGAGAGAGAGAGAGAGAGAGAGAGAGAGAGAGGATGTCTAACGGTTGCGATGGTAATGAGTTACTTACGAACTTTCTTCAAATATTTTGTTCGATTGTTTTGTGGCGAGTTGTAGCATTTTGATTTGTATTGAAAATTAGAAAATCTTTTTGACTAAAAAAATAAATTTATTAATACAGTATACTTACGTCGATGCATGCGAATTCTTGGGTGTGTTAGGTAAAGAGTCATGGCCAGAACTCCGCGGCGTGTCAGGAAGGAAAGCCGTGGAGATCATCGAGAGGCAGAACCCATGGCTGACGGCGTATATATTGCCGCCAGGGGCGATCCCGATTACTGATTTTCGATGCGACAGAGTGTGGGTGTATGTGGATGATCATGGCTACGTTGTTTCAACTCCAAGACTCGGCTGATGATTATTTGGCCCCTCGATCTTCTTGTAAGGCCTTTGTTAAAAAACTATCTCATCTAAAAGTTTGATTAATGACGGTTAAATAATCATCTCACCTAAAAATTTAATCAGTAAAAAAATATATAATTTATTACTTATTATATAGTTTTTGGACAATTTCTTTCACTCTTATAATATATTAGTTAAATGACCGATTCACCTAAAAATCTAGTTTGTATGAATTATCTATCATTATATTATATAGTAAACCAACAATTACAATACCATAATTTTTAAACAAACCTACCCCAAATAAATTTTGGGTTGAATTGCCTAACCCATGTGTCTTCTTGCTCTGAAATACAAGAAACATAATGAGTTCAAATATTAGCATTGCTAGACAAATTAAATTTTGTACAACAAAGTTTCTTAATTTTCGATGAAGGCAAGAATTTAATTTTCTTTGGAGAATTCATCTCATTGCAGTGAAAGCAAATTCCCTCACAACCATAAGAAGGCCTTGGTTTCGAAGGGAAACATGGCCATACAAATCAAATAAATTAATAAAAGAAAACAAAGAAACAAAGTTTTAGGAAAAAAAATGAAGAAAAAATAAAAATAAAACAATTTGTACAACATTCAAACGATTAATAACATCCTATTTAAATGCTAAATAATGATCTGATGTTCGACAATGCTGGAACAAAATCTCACGCTTCATTCAGCATACTTGACGTTGGAACAACACAGCCACTTTCTCCCGCCCGACAGCTTCCTCATTTCATCCTGTTTCTCGAACCCCATGCTCTTTGGGGAGGTAGTTGAGCCACCGTGGGGCGAGCCACGCTGGCTCTGCTGCTGCCCTTCCCGTTTCTCATTTCTGGCCCTGTCGAAGATCATAGAATATTGTGTCGCCATGGCGGGGTTGTTTGCATCGTTCCATGATCCAAATTTTGGCAGTGATGAAATATTCTCTTTCGCCGATGACATATTCGCCAAATGAAACGAAGAAAAAGAAAAAACAATGAAAAGGGAATATATGAAAGGGTGAAGAGTCTATTGTTTCTTTCTACAATTTTTTACTTTTTTTTAAATATTATGTCGAACTCTCAACCCTTAATTCCTTTTGCCTTTAGATCTCCCTTCTCTATTGTTCGAAGGTTCTTGCATTGCACGTAAAATGTAATGCCTAAATATAGTATCGTGAAACCGTGGGTTTGGCTAATTTGAATGGCCTTAGATGATTGGGAGCAAGATATATATTAAGAGCATGTTTAGTATATAAGATAGAAATAACGATTTTTGAAAACATATATATATATATTTTACTACTAAAATAGATAAATGATAAAAGTTATAATGAGATATACAATTGGAGCGTAAATTAAATTTAACCTCTTATAATTAACTTACTTTTGATCAAAGATCAAGGCCCAATTAACTGATAATCCAATCAGTTAAGTATATTTCATGGCCCATTACATTTCTCACTCAAGAATTACATGATTTTGAAAAATTAGGAATAGAATCATAAATTAATTTCCAACAATCAATTAAAATATTAACCGATAACCAACATGTAATATTGAAAATTTTATTTCAGTGTAGCTTTTCCTTCATCCAACAAGATTTAGAAGTACACTTAAGATACAAAATGAACACCAAACATGTCTTTCTCAAGTTAAATATTAGTACAAATTCAAGACAAATTATAGATTTCAAAGCAGACATATTTAGAAAGCACAGAAGAACTAAATTCATCATATAATTGAAACCAATCAAAGATTACATACTCAACTGAATCTAATAATTAATGAAGAATATGATTGTAAAAATTCAGTTTGAATAACTAACAAATGATTTTCTATATAGGAATACAAATTCATCGATTCTATTCTTAGTTGTTCCACTAGAATTGTCTTTGAAGATATTTGATCACATTCTTGTCGACCTGGAAAGCTCTTGCAAGAACGTCAGAAGAAATCGAAGGTTCCGAACCAAACACAGCATTTGCAATCGTAATCACTCCCGGGTTTTGGCTGCTGAGACCGGCAAACGCCACGGCATTAGTTTTCCCAGTGTTGAACTGAAAATGTATAAGGCCTTGTGGGAACACAAAAACATCTCCCGGATACAAAACTTTCGTAAAAAGTTTATTTTTCTGGTTTGGATCCGCTGGGTTGGAAGTCACAAATCCAACATACAGAGTGCCCTCGACAACAACAAGAATCTCAGTTGCGCGAGGGTGCGTGTGAGGGGGGTTTTGGCCATACGGCGCATAGTCAATACGTACTAAAGAAATGCCGAGAGTGTTTAGCCCTGCTATTTGATTTACATTCACCGGAGTCACTTTTGATCCGACTTGATTTGATGTGTTTCCGGGCTTGTTAAGTCCGGAAAAGAAGAAATCATCCGCTGTCACCATTTTCGGATCCTTGCAAATCTTTCCATTCACAAATACTACAAAAAAAGAAGAGATACAGAGTATTTGTTAAAAAATGTTTCAACATTATCACTAATAAATACGAAATCAAATCAGCTTCTTTACACTTACCAGAAGCTTTGACGTCATCGACTGCGACGCAGAAATCCTGAAGAGGACTGGGATCAGAAGCATAAGCTAATGAAGAAGCTAAAGCAACAATTGCAATAGCTACAAGAGTGCCAACAATGGCCATTTTCTAAATTTTTTTTCTTCAAGCTTAACAAGTTCTGTTGGAAATTGATTTTCTTAGCAAGAACTTGATGATATATTGCTTGAGGAATTAATGGAGATGAGATGAAATACTAATGAAGAACAGGTATTTATAGTCGATGGAGTTTGACAAATCCAACGGCTTTTAATTAAATTATTAGAGAATGTAAGAACGAGTCGTCAGGTTTCTTGTACATGTTGCTGAAACTTAATCATGCCAGTCTTCATCAACTTGATAAAATAACACATAAAATATTTATTTATCGTAGAATTGTTCATTTTCTTGCTGCAACTGGCTATATTTACCTGTCCCAATTTTTAATCAGCTAATTATTTGTTAATTTGGACAGCAAAGTGAAAGAAAACAGTTGAATTTTTAATCATTTAAGAAAGCGCGGCGATGTAGAGTTGGTTCATAAACAAAGAGTTGAATAAATCAGCAAATTATTTATTTATTTATTGAATCTCTGTACCATTATATTTTTTTTCAGCCGGTTTTGTAAATAATTAATGGATATAATTACATACTTCCAGAAAACTGCTGCATAGCCGTGTAATTATAAATTGTCAGTTTTGAAAAGTTAATTGGACAATTTACCATAAGTTATTTTATTTGTTTATTTTTTTCACATACACATTGAAGGGGAAATTTATAAATTTAATCACATAGTTAATACTTTTTTTTTTTTTTTTTAATGATGTAACCTAATTTGCAGCAATGATTTCACTATCATAAGTTTATTTTACACCACCAAATTATCTTTTACAAAAAATTTTTCAAATCTAAACACACATACATCCACTGGGATCAAACTTAAAATCCTCAAGCAAGAGATGATTCACAGTATGATCTACAAGGGTTTAATACTATATTTATATGTAAAAGTTGCAGTTTTTTTGGTATTGGACTATTAAAAATATAACACATATTTAAAACTAAAAGAAAAAAAATTACGTACACATAATATTCTTATTTCTTCCATTGTCATATTATGCATATCTTTTGCATCTGCTCTTCTTTATTGTATCTTCTTCTTCATGCTATATATATATTCTAATCATGAAAAATTATATCATCGCAATGAAAACTCTATCATCACACCACCATCACTGTTCATTTTCTTTAACCGTCATCCCTCTATCACTTATATCAAATAATAAAAATTATAATTCTGTATAATTTTATAAAATTGTAAAAAAATAAAAAATAAAAAAATCTCAAAATTCTAAGATTGAAGGTCCGACTTGAGCTTTATATATATATATATATATATATATATAAGTTACACTACAGAAATCTTATTTGACATATTCAATTGAAAAGCTGTCCGTAGGGGACATTCTTAATTAATAATCATTCTTCACAGTCACAGTCACCAAAAATATAATTAATATTTGAAACATATCTTAGCTTAAAATATGTCTTTTATTTCTCGAGCATTTCCCTTGGTTATACAAATTCCCTATCTGTTATTTTGGAAGTATATATATATATATAGTTCAATTAAGTAAGGGTTATATTCCCTCTGTCCTAAAATATAACCCAAACTTAAAAATAATCTTCTTATTTTATAATAGTATTAATGCGCATAAGTTTTGTTTTAAAAAATTAGTAGCAAATTAAATAACATACTAAATGATTATATCAAAATAAATATTAGGGTGTGTATAGATGTGAAATTGGCTTTGCTCTCATTTTTATTTTTTTTCTTCAATACTAATTTTCTTTTTAAAAATATCAAATCATAATCCAATTTTTATAACAAATTTTAAGATTTTAATTCAAACATTAAATCAAACCCCTTTTTTATTCGCATCATAATAGCTATTCTATTAAAAAGCTTACTATTTATATCTCAAACAATGGACTATAATATTATTCATCATATGAAATGTCACAAAAAAACATTACACACCGCATCAAACATAATTATTGTTACATATGAGTATGATTTCTATAGTAGCAAATTAAAATTCATCAGACTTCTCTGTCCTTTAATTGTTGTTCCACCAGAATTGTCCCTGAAGATATTTGATGACATCCTTATCAACCTGGAAAGCTCTTGCAAGAACATCAGAAGAAATCGAAGGTTCCGAGCCGAACACAGCATTCGCAATCGTAATAACTCCCGGGTTTTGGCTGCTAAGCCCGGCAAACGCCACGGCATTGGTTTTCCCAGTGTTGAACTGAAAGTGAATAAGGCCTTCTGGGAACACAAACACATCTCCGGGATACAAAACTTTAGTAAAAAGTTTATTTTTTTGGTTCGGATCCGCCGGGTTGGAAGTCACAAATCCAACATATAGAGTGCCCTCGACAACAACAAGAATCTCAGTTGCGCGAGGGTGCGTGTGAGGGGGGTTTTGGCCATACGGCGCATAGTCAATGCGCACTAAAGAAATGCCGAGAGTATTTAGCCCAGCTATTTGATTGACATTCACCGGAGTAACTCTTGATCCGACTTTATTTGATGTGTTTCCGGCCTTGTTAAGTCCGGAAAAGAAGAAATCATCGGCTGTCACCATTTTCGGATCCTTGCAAATCTTTCCATTCACAAATACTGCAACAACACGCATAAGAATCCTTCAGAAATGTTCATATAATATCAGAAATAAGATTTTAAGTTGCAGTTTTCATTTAGAAACTAATTAAGCAGATTCGCTTACCAGAAGCCTTGGCATCGTCGACTGCAACGCAGAAATCCTGAAGAGGGCTCGGGTCCGACGCGTAAGCCAATGAAGAAGCCAAAGCAACAAGTGCAATCACTAAAATTTTTTGAATGGCCATTTTTCACTCAACCTTATTAATTTGATGCTGCTGTGAATTAATATTTTACTGCTTGAAATTGATACTGCTAACTGAGCAATTAGAAGTTGAGGAATGAGATGCATAAGCTAGTGAAGTATGTGTATTTATAATAAGATAATGTAAGAATCAGTCGTTCATTTTCTTGTTAATATGGATCAATTAATCATGCTAAGTCTTCATCAGTAATCATAATTTGATCAGGAATTGTTCTTAATCTGCTGACAACATTAAAACACGCAGACAAAGGGACTACTCTTTCACATAAATTAACCTCTAGATTTTATGTAATTGAATTGGTCAATTTCTTGTGGCAGGAGAATTACCCCTTCACATATATTGAAGCAGTTGGATCATATGCATTAGGCTAATACATTTAAGTGGTTTAATATGTTAGCTCCACTTGGTTGGATATTATGACTACTATAAGTCTTTGGGAGCTTATCTATTCATCAGTTATACCGAATGATTTTTTAGTGTATCAATTTAAACATATGTAAAACACCGGCCCTCAAACCAGGTATATTGTTGAAAATTGTAAATTGGCGTTATAGATCAACATAATTCTTTTCAACGCACTTTGTTTTCACTCACAAGAAATATGCACATAGTTTACATAATAGTCAATCCTAAAATTATCGGCATACTTAAGTATAATGTTCTTTCAAATGGGCTCTAAAAAAGATTATGTATATAATTGACACGGATAGTCTAATTGATTTACTTAAACTCTTCTTTGATACCGGAGTGTCACAACCAATTTTAGCAATTTTATACAAGATCATTGTATCACATAATAATGAACAATTTTAATATCTTAGTGTTAACACGTGAAGGAGTGATTATCCAAAGCAAGAAATTGACCATTTCAAAATATATCAAATCTAGAGTTTTAGGTGAAGGATTAGTCTCAGGGTGTGCGTGTGTTAATTTAAGTTGCCAGCAAATAATAAAAAATTCCTGATCAAATTATGAGCTAATGAAGACTTAGCATGATTTAGCAATATTCATAAGAAAACGAATGACTCATTCTTGTATTATCTTACTAGTAATATAATATGATTACAAACTGCCGACTTATTCAAGTTGGATCAGTATAAATACACATGAAACACTGTCTTTGCATTTCATCCCTCAAACTCTATCTGTTCAGTTAGCAATATCAAGTTCAAACCTCAAACCCTAAACCCTAAACCATAAGCCCGAGAAAATATATTAATAGAAGCATTTAGCACAGCCTGAGTGAAAAATGGCAATTCACAAACTTCTAGTAATTGCACTTATTGTTTTGGCTTCTTCAATGGCTTATGCATCCGACCCGAGCCCGCTTCAAGATTTCTGCGTCGCAGTCGATGATGCCAAGGCTTCCGGTAAGCGAATATGCTCAGTCAGTGTCTACATATGAAACTGCAACTTAAAAATATTATTTGAACATTGTTTAATGATTCTTATGTATAATGTTGCAGTGTTTGTGAATGGAAAGATTTGCAAGGATCCGAAAATGGTGACAGCTGATGATTTCTTCTTTTCTGGACTTAACAAGCCCGGAAACACATCAAATAAAGTCGGATCAAAAGTGACTCCGGTGAATGTAAATCAAATAGCAGGGCTCAACACTCTCGGCATTTCTTTAGTGCGCATCGACTATGCGCCGTATGGCCAAAACCCCCCTCACACGCACCCTCGCGCAACTGAGATTCTTGTTGTTGTCGAGGGCACTCTATATGTTGGATTTGTGACTTCCAACCCGGCGGATCCGACCCAGAAAAATAAACTTTTTACGAAAGTTTTGTATCCGGGAGATGTGTTTGTGTTCCCACAAGGCCTTATTCACTTTCAGTTCAACACTGGGAAAACCAATGCCGTGGCTTTTGCCGGGCTTAGCAGCCAAAACCCGGGAGTTATTACGATTGCGAATGCTGTGTTCGGCTCGGAACCTTCGATTTCTTCTGATGTTCTTGCAAGAGCTTTCCAGGTTGATAAGGACGTCATCAAATATCTTCAGGGACAATTCTGGTGGAACAACAATTAAAAAATGGACAAAAGGGGTGATGAAATTTTACTACTATAGAAAGAGTACTATTTAGTTATTCAATAAACCTTTTGAATGTTTTCAAAATTATGTTGGTTTGGCATGTATTGTTTGTGATTAATAAGATGAATAAAAGTATTGTCGAATGTTTTTTATCAGTCTTGTTTATTTTAAAATATTTGCTGCTAATAATGCATGTATTTGCAACATTATACTAAATCCTGTGTAAAGAATGGAACCAATTAAACTTCCCCCTCATTAAATAAAAAGTGGCAACTATTGTTTGGCTCTAGTCTTCTAAGTTTGATTTCAAATTTTTTCCTATACAATTATTGAAAATCTCTATAAAAATATTTTATTTTTAATTTTATAAATGTCAAATTTAAATTACTCTCTATTGTCCCATATATCATGTAATATTTTGTTTTTAAGAGTGTCCAAAGCAATTTTTTTTAAAAAAATAATAAATAAATAGTTATATTTAATCCATAATAAATATACACACACTTTGTCACATCACTAAAATAAAATAAATAAATATATATTTTTTATCCCATTATCTAATTCTGAAATTATCATATTAATATTATCCATCTAAATTTTTATCGAAAATCAAATATTGCATCATATTTGAGATATAAAAAGTAATATTAAAAAATAAATAAATAACTAACATGAAACTAAGGGTGTGTTTATTTTGTGTTTTGGTTTGAAAGAATTTTCCTATATGAAATATAAAAAATCTTATAAATACTATAAAAATAATAAATACATGTAGCATATTAATTCTTTTGAAAAAATATGTTGAAAATTTTTGGATGAAAGATCGAAGCCTAAATTCCACTAACTTTGAACAATATAAAAAGCATACAATGAATGAACCTCTAGGTAAATTTTTGATCGGATATAATAGTTTGCAAATTAAACTCGACAAAATAAATTATATGTGACAGATAAAATATCCAAAGTCAGTGCTAAACCTCTAGTCTATACATAATATGAAAAATTCAGGCGAGTTTTAAAAATAGGCTCGAGAAGAATACTTAGGCCCATCTGATCCGTTAAAAACCATTCCAGGCTTGGGCTTAAAATTCGGCTATGCCTCTTGGGCCTGAATTTTTAAAATAATAAAATAAAATCAATTTTTAAATTAATGTATTTTAAAAAAATATATTCTATATGTAGAAGTAATGTATTCATATTTTTTAAATTTTAATCGGTCCAAAATCAAATTATCTGTTAATCTATTTTTTGTTTTGTTTTAATAATCATACTTTGCTTTCCCATTACTTTAGAAGAATTCTTACAATTCATATATTACTTCCTTTGTCATAATAGGAGCATTTTTACATTTTTATCAATATAGTATTAATATTAATTTTTATATAAAAAAATACTATTATAAAAGTACCATCATCATTATTTAATCAATCTTTTCTTTTTCTTTTTTTTTTTTTTTTTTTTGAGTAAATTTGAATATTTATATCTCTTATAAAGGAGTACTAACATTAAACTCCATGGTTAGGGATGCCAACGGGGCGGGTTTGAGACGGGTTCTGCAGGCCTCAAGATCCGTCCCGCTAGAAAATATTAGGCTTCGAGACCTACCCCGCGCCGTTTCCATCCGGCTTTGGGACCCGCCCGTCCTGAACCCTCTGGGTTTGGGGTCAACCGAAAAAATAATTAAATAAATAAATATTTTTTTTATTATATAAATATACATATATTAGGTATAATAATTTAAAAAAATATTTGGGGGCAAACGACTAATTGAATTTTATATTTAAAATTATTTAAATAAATAAATAATATATTTTTATTATATAAATATACATATATATTAGTTATAATAATTTTAAAAAATATCTGGGTTCCGGTTTGGGTTCGGATTGGGGCGAATTTTTAGTAAAATCCGTAACCCGCCCCAAATTCGGCCGGATTTAAAATTTCAAATCCACAACCCACCCTAAAATATATTATTTAGACCCGAATCCGCCCCATTAAAAACGGGTCCGGGGCGGATCTAGGGTTAACCCAGCCCATTTGACATCCCTATTCATGATCCTCAAAATTTTCTATAAATTTAAAGTTTCTCTAAAATTAAGAAAAATAGGAAATAAAATAATGTAAGAAAAAACTTTTAAATTTAAATTTTAAAATAAAAAATTACTGGTTAGATCAGTTAATACAATTTCAAATTAGACCATGGTCGGTTGAGACCCAATCTGTCTTAATTTTATAGTAGTGCCGGACCGGACCCATTTTGCCCAATACATTATTAGCATAAACAAACTGCTCATATATTAAACTATTCGTTTATGAAACGGCAAAGTTTCTTGAATTGTTAACATTTTGACTAGGGGTGGAAAAGATAAGATCGACCCAAAAGTTCGGTTCGAGCATGGTACGAAAAAATTTTATTTGAATTTTCAAAAATAGATCCGAAAATTTACGAACCGTGTTTGACCCGATCCAATTTTTAAAATTAATATTTGAATTTTAATAAATTTATATATATATATATTAATTTTTTAAATAAGAACAAAAATTGAATATTGTTTGTCGGCCAAGTTTTTGCCTTGTATATGTTTGGTTGAGTTTAATACTTTATTTTTACTTTTTAATTATATTTTGTTTTAAATTAATTTAAAAAAATGGACTAATTTCAAATCGGGTCAGACTGGCCTGGCACCAAAAAAATCGGACAGGCCGGAATTGCAACCCATAATTTCGCCTGATCTTCTTCCACTTGGCTATCCATAAAACCAAAAAAAGTTTAGTTTATTAAAATCTGGTCAACTAGTAGCTATTATCAACAAGAAAATGAACCATTCTACAACAATTATGTATATATAACGTGTATATATAATATATATACATACATACATGTTGTGTTGTAAATTAGAACAAGTCTTAATAAAGTCGATGAAGACTTAGCATGAGTTTTTGCAACATGTACAAGAAATCTCACGACTCATTCTTACATTCTCTAATAAATTAATTCAAAGACATTGGATTTTTTTCAAGCTCCATCAAGTATAAATACCCATCCCTCATTTGTATTCAATCTCATCTCAATTAATTCCTCAAGCAATACATCATCAAGTTCTTGCAAAGAAATTCAATTTCCAACAGAACTTGTTAAGCTTGAAGAAAAAAAATCTAGAAAATGGCCATTGTTGGCACTCTTGTAGCTATTGCAATTGTTGCCTTAGCTTCTTCATTAGCTTATGCTTCTGATCCCAGCCCTCTTCAGGATTTTTGCGTCGCAGTTGACGACGCCAAAGCTTCTGGTAAGTGTAAAGAAGCTAATTTGATTTCGTAAAAAGTAATGATATTGTAGGAACAATTTTTGAGCAATTCCTCTGTGTCTTTGCCTTTTTTGCAGTATTTGTGAATGGAAAGATTTGCAAGGATCCGAAAATGGTGACAGCCGATGATTTCTTCTTTTCTGGACTTAACAAGCCCGGAAACACATCAAATAAAGTCGGATCAAAAGTGACTCCGGTGAATGTAAATCAAATAGCAGGGCTCAACACTCTCGGCATTTCTTTAGTGCGCATCGACTATGCGCCGTATGGCCAAAACCCCCCTCACACGCACCCTCGCGCAACTGAGATTCTTGTTGTTGTCGAGGGCACTCTATATGTTGGATTTGTGACTTCCAACCCGGCGGATCCGACCCAGAAAAATAAACTTTTTACGAAAGTTTTGTATCCGGGAGATGTGTTTGTGTTCCCACAAGGCCTTATACATTTTCAGTTCAACACTGGGAAAACTAATGCCGTGGCGTTTGCCGGTCTCAGCAGCCAAAACCCGGGAGTGATTACGATTGCAAATGCTGTGTTTGGTTCGGAACCTTCGGTTTCTTCTGATGTTCTTACAAGAGCTTTCCAGGTCGATAAGGATGTGATCAAATACCTTCAGGGACAATTCTGGTGGAACAACTAAAAGAGAACGTAGAATGAATTTTTTTTTACTTTATTATAACCAATTGTTCTGTTGTAATATCATTCATTGTTTGCTCATATGATAAATTCATGTTTGTTCTTTTATTTGTCAGAGATATGTATTAGGCTTTAGCCATTGTTGCAAGAAAATTGTCGTTTTGAATGTGATTGTGAATCTACAAAAGATTTATGTTTGTATACACTCTTTTGTAAGTTTTGTCAACGTTTAACATAATTTTTTTTTTTATTATTATTATTTTTTCAAATATTTTCTCAAATAGTTATATCATCTCACAAAAAATAATATCAAACAAACTTTTACTACTGAGTTTTATTCACAACTTCAAAACTCAAAAAGTATTTATATAGATAGAAGGTCGGAGAAATATTTTATTATTTTTTTTATGGGAATAGTATTGTTTGTAATTTTAAAATAAAAATTAATATATATGATTAAAAGAAGTTTAGAATATTTATTTAAATATGATCCAAAGGAATCCTTTGGAGTTTTGTAGTAATTAAGAAATAATAGTATTTTATCCGTCAATGAAAATGTATAAAAAGTTTTGACATTTTTGTCCTTTAAAAATAATTGTATGTGTAATGGTATATTTGTAATTTAGGTAAAAGTTAAAAGTTTTTAGTATTGACGTATGATTATTTTTACGAAAATGGATATTTGGAGTGAGATGGACAAAAATAGTAAAAATGATACTTGAGTTGAGACAGAGAGAGTATTTCAATAAAGTATATGCAAAATAAATATTGTTTTTAAAATAATAAAATTTTATATAATATTACACACATATATATATTATATTATATTAAAATAAAATTTATAAATATTGCAATAATATGTTTATATTTTTTCACTTAATATATTAAAAGTTTTTAGACCATCAACTAAGATCATAAGTATTGCGATTCCAATATCTTCAAACTATATTTATTTAATATTTCAAATCTAAGAAAATTCCAATAACTACTCCTCAAACTTCTCCAAAATTACAAACATATCCTCCAAAATATATCTAAAATAGGTTGCCGAAATAATTTAAAAACTCTAATATTTTTTATTTTTTTTCTTTGTAGATTTGATTCATATATTTAATATACAAATATTACACTTAAATTATTATTATTAAGAAGAATAAATAAATACAAAATTCCAATATTTTATTTTTATTTTTAATTTTTTAAAAAAAGAAACAAAGTGAATTCCGTTCGAGTGTGTAAAACGTACGTTATGTAGCAATTTAAAAATGATAGATCATCACTACAATAATTGATGGATGGTTTTGGAGTATAAGTATGATGGCTTTGTAGAATTTGAATTTAATCTAAACAAAGATCAGTTATCAATAATTCTATGATAATAGAAAAAACATATATTTATATATTTGAATTATCTAATTATTCGAATTTTATACAAAAAAATAAATTTGTAAATGTAATTAAAATATAAACGAATGAAGGGTCGCCAAGTAACCGATCTTAGCGGGAGATCAGTTACCAACGGCTACCACAAAGAACTTAAAAAATATTCGAAACCCTGATCGCCATTGGAATTTTGAATTCCATCTGTTAATTATTATGATCATAAATATTCTTAACAATTCTCTTTAATTTCATCACTGTGCCTATTTCTATAAGAAATCCTCCATTTGTTTCAGACATCAATCAAAGAGAAGAAGAGGGGAAAGACGGATCATCATTGTTTTCGTCGAAGAAGATTAAGCTCTTCAACATTTCGTTGTCTTCAGATTTGGTTTGTTCTTCATTAAAAAAATTCCCGACTCTTTTTTTTTTTTTTTTTTTACTGATTTATTTACAAATCATTGCTTTTCTAGTGGTAATCAAGATTTGCTTTCTTGTTGTATTCAGGAAATCACATTTCCTATATTTTGAAATTACAGGTTTGTGTTACTTTCTTGGTTACTTTTTGCAGTCCTTTATAGTAATCTTATAGATAATTTCATTAAATTTTCGATAGATATAATCATCATCAAGATGAATGATCTTATGACAAAGTCATTTCTAAGTTACGTCGAGTTGAAAAAGCAATGCCAAATCGACGTCGAACAAGAAAGGGACTTAGAGATGGGAACTCTACACGAGGAGGGCCAAAAAAATCTCTTGGAATTTTTCAAAGAAGCCGAGGAGATCAAAGCCATAATGAAACAGATTTCGGATCTCTTGCTCGATCTCCAAACTCTAAACGAAGAGACTAAATCGACATACAGTGCCAAAATCCTCCGAGGTCTAAGGGACCGAATGGATTCGGACATGGTAGCCGTGCTCCGGAAAGCCAAGGTTGTCAAGGAAAAATTGGAATCCCTCAACAAATCCAACGAAGAAAACCAAAAAATCTACGCCGAAGGCAGCGCAGTCCATAGGACGCGCATTCTAACAACAAATGGACTGCGATCCAAGCTTAAGGACATCATGGATGGCTTCCAAGCCTTGCGCGAAAAAATCATGTCCGATTACAAGGACGGATTGAGGAGGAGATATTACAACGCGACGGGGGAGTATCCGAGCAAGGAAATAATAGAAAAAATGGTGTTGGGAAATGGGAAGGTCGAGATATTCGAAAAGAAAGCCGAGATGTATATGGAGAACCGAGAGAGGCACGAGGCGGTGATGGACATATGGAGGAGTTTGAACAAGCTGCATCAAGTGTTTCTTGATATGGCCGTTATGGTCGAGGCTCAAGGCGATCGGATTGATGACATCGAGCGTAATGTCGCCGTGGCGGCGAGTTACGTCAGCGGCGGAACCAACAGTCTTTTCTATGCTAAGCAGACGAAGGAAGAGGGCAGGAAGTGTGTGTGGTGGGTGTGGTCTATAGGGTTTATTGTAGTTGTAGTTTGTTTGGTTGCATTGTTGACAAGTTAGAAAATAAGATGAAGGATCGAAGATGATTGTGTAACAACTCTATGGATTGTGATACATTTTTGTGCTTTTTTTTTTTTTTTATCAACTCTGGAATGTATATTTTCTCCCCTGTCAATAAGGATCAAAGATTATTTTCTAGAATTGTCTTTATGTGATGTTATAAGAGAAAATAATCATATTTTGATTTTTTTTTAATAATTTTTTTTACAGTATTTCGACTTTTATTTTGTATGTTTTATTACTCCTTATGTCTCATCACAAAACAAAGTTTTACTATTTTCTGATTAAATAAAATAATAATAATAGAGGGGTATCAGTTACAAATGATATTAGAGATGGGATTAAGGATGGAATTACGTTAGCTATATTCCGTTATAAATATACTATTTTTTTTAGTGATTGCAACTTAATATAATACTAATATTAAAAAATCTATATGCAAAAAGTAAACGGAGTATTATTTTTTAAAAATCGCAATTAAAAATTAGTGGGAGAGCATAACGCGGTAATTTCCAAAACCTCTGAATTTTATCTTTCATTCCAAACGAACAGCCACCCTGCCCACCCCCAAACACCAATTGTTTGATCACCAATTCCTGAATTTTATCTTCTATATTTTAGTTTCTTCTTGACTATATAATTAATTTTGAGCATTCGGCGTTGTCGATGTCGACTCAATTTCAAACAACATAATAACAAACACGAATTGACACCCTTACACCGAATGATCGTATGAAAATTATCTTTAAAGCAATAATCCACAATATAAAGCTGAAAATTCGACGGTATACAAAAAGATCTAAATATCAAACCCCGACGTCTCAGGTCACATGTTACATAGGGTTATTTTCGGATAGGGACTATGAAAACTTATATGATCAAGAAGGTGATGATCTTCGACCTCCTGCAGCAATAATAGCAAATCTGGTTTAATTCATCCGGCTCATGTAGGAATTCGTGGAAAGGCCAAACAAACACACCCTAACACACCATAATTTCAAATTTATCTTTTAAACATATACACTAAATATATTTTTTCTTATAAAAAATAATATACATGAGTATATCTTATACTCTTTATTTATTTTGTTTGTATCTATTAATTTCAACTCGAGCCCAATTCACCCCAAGTCCAGATAAAATTACAATAGTATTGTGCTGGGCCAAAATATTTATAAGCTAGATTGACATGGCCAACTAGAGTGGGCAAAAATCCACGGTAAAAACAAGAAAAGAACTCGAGAATTAGGGTCGGCACGGTTCGATTATTTATAAATAATTTGATATTCAAATTGAATCGAACAAATACTTGAAACTGCGAACTATATTCGAACCGAAAATTGTGGTTCGATTAACCGAAAATATTTGCAAATAATTCGAACGGAACCGAAATTAAGAAAGAATACATTAAAAAATAATTAAAATTCTAATTAAATAAAAAATAATTACAAATATTTTAAATATTCGAAGCGAAATCGAACCGAATTTAATTATTAATATAAAAGTTAAAATATAATAATATAAATATATTCAATTTGGTTAAATAAATATAAAAAATCAAAATCGAACCGAATAAATATCAAATATATTGTATTTATATTCGAACTGAAGTTGCTCATTTAACCGAAAATTCGCTTCATTTCAGTTTGATTCCGTGGTTCGGTTCCGAATCTGTTGCCCACCCCAACTCTACTCGAGAACGTGACATAAAATAATAATAATAATAATAATTAATAAATAAATAAATTCAGATGTGACCTTTTTTCGCGGACTGAATTGGCTAATCCGGTTGTAGAAGAATTCGTTTTATAATATTTAGTTTTATTATTCTATTTTAATTAATAATAACTAATTTACAATTATATTTTTATATATGAATAATAATTTTTTTAGTGGAGAAGAATTTGGTATGTTTGATTTGGCGAAGATATAGCAAATATTTCCCAAATTTAAGGATCCGTTAGAAAAGCAGCTATTGGATTGGATACTATTATTCAATCTTAATAATTAATAATAATAATAATAATAATAATAATAATAATAATAAATATTATTTATCTTTTTTAATAACATTAGACTAATCATAAATAAAATCTAGAGCCGCTGCAATTTCGGCCAAATTATTTATGATAGACAAATCAAACTTAACCATATATGGCAGATAAAATCTACATACACTCGGGGAAAATGTATTTTTATTAAAATCTTGTTGTTTAATAGCAATAATCTACTTTCAAATAAAAAGAAAACACACAATTTATATAAAAAAAAGCTATTAGTAATAGAAAATTAATAAATCAAAATTGTACTATATATTTGTTCATATTGGACGCGAAAAAGAAGTTAAATCAATCACACAAAATAAATTCAACTATGATCGATCCGCAATGAGTTGAATTACATCCCATCGGCTATATAACAATAGATACTTAGAAAAATATTGCCTTCTTGCTAATCATCCGTCGGTAACTCGTGACGACACAAAGGGCAATAATGGCTTATCCCCAGCCACTCTTTGATGCAATCTTCGTGAAAAACATGTCCACAAGGCATCGCCAAAGCCTCACATTCTCCGGTCATCTCTTTCAAGCAAACAGTGCAAATCTCTTCAGAATTCCCCAAATTCGCCACACGTCTCAACATCTCTATCGACGACTCTTTTGCAGGAACCATGCCGGCACCATTGGTAACTTCGTAAAGATAATGATGGTGCATCATGGTCACAGGACATCGAATCTCGACAGCATTCCATGTCGAATCATCACTCAAGGACTTAATTGCTCTATTAGCTTTTAGTAATGCAAACGTGACTACCATCGCGCGGTGGTTCCTACAGAAGTTCCAATGATTCAGCTTATCTCCGACGAATTTTGAGGCATGTCTGTGGTGGAAGATTTGATCTTTTTTAATCTTTACGTAGGTCACGATCTCCGGATCGGTGACCTGCCCTAAATACCTTATCGGGCTGGATGAATCGTTAGACACATTCCATTCTTCTACCACGTGTTTCAATATGAATTTGAATGTGATCGTGAATCCGGATTCTTTGGTAGTCGTGTACGAGTTGTTGTCGATTTCGAGTTCGTCGAACATTATGCGCCGTCTTAAACATTCTTCTACTGCCATGTTGATGATTCGAAGAACTTGAATAATGTCGATTGATTATTGAAACTGAGAAAGAAGTTTGATCGAGTAGGAGTGGAATTTAGAAGGAATGAATTTTAAGTGTTTTTCGAATGTAAATAGATGTTAAGTAGATCGTGTGTATATATAGAAAGAGATAAGTTTGGTGGGCCGATTATATTCTTTACTTTAATTTGAAGATTTTAAGGATTTCTTCCCTAACTTAGATATTATTCTATCCTAAACTCACATAATATTAGTAGATATTAGTGTCAATAGAATTATCTATATATAATATAATATATATTTGATACGGTGGTATTGTGAAAAAAAAAGAAAAAGAAAAACCTTATGTTATTATTATTTTTTAAATTTTATACTAAATTTATATACAATTTATTTATATTAGATAATTTTATTTATTTATAATTTTATTATTTCTTCACTTTCTGGTTTAATTTTGAGACGGAATTATTTAGGGGTGAACATCGATCCGAAAATTCGAATTTTTTTACGAAAATCAATCGGAACGGAACCAAAATAATTGAAATTCAAAATTCGAAATTCAAATTTAAAAAGCTGAATCAAACCGAAAATTCTGAATTTTTAATTTTTTTCATATTTTATAATTGTTTTATAATATCAAATATATAATATATAAAAATTAAATATATTAAAATATAATTAATAATTTGAGTTTTTATTTATATATTTATATACTTTTAATAAAATATTAAATATATAATAAAATATATTAAAATATTATATTTTGAATTTCGGATAAGTTTGGATTTTAAGTATACCTATCAATCCGATCCAATCCGAAAATTTAAAATTTATCAAATATTCAATCTGAACCAATTCGAAAATTTGAACAAAATTTTAAATTTCGGTTTGGTTCAGATCCGATTTTTGGGTTTCAGATATTTTACTCATCTCTATAAATATTATTGTGTTTTTTTTTTTTTTTGTGGTTTACGATAGAATTTTTCTATTCAATTTTTTTTAAAAAAAAAAATATCAAATCAAATAACTATTATTATTTTTATATTATACTATAAATTTACTGTACATTCAAATATCACATATAACGTATATTTATATCACAACAAACTACTGTTAAACTTCAATTTTTTACTATTCTAAAATCCAAATCCAAAAATTCAAACCCACAAATAAAATAGGGCTGACAAAAATTAACCCGACCTGATCCGAATTCGAAGTAGCTTGGTTTGGATTTTTGACCCAATTAATAATTGGGTCAAACCTATTTAACACATCTAATTAAATGAGTCGGATTTAAGTCTAAATTTTCAATATGAAAATAACCCGTCTAAACAGGTTTAATTACTATTATTTTAAATTTAAATATATATATATTTTTTTAAATTTACCAATCCAATTTAAATATTCATAGCCAATTTTATGAAAATAATAAAATAATAAAATTTAAGCTAAAATTCTATTAAATTATGATTAAACAAAGGATCGTGGTTTGTACTATTAGGTAGTGTTTGTTAACTGACTCTTGAATATCGATTTAATGATTTGAATAAATTATTTTTATTTTAATGTGTATATATTATGCATTTGAAAATTTTGTTAATAATAATTTTAATTATAGATTAAAATATAAAAATTTTAAGCTTAAACAAATTATAAAAATCAGGATGATCTTATTAATAAAAAGTAAATTAAAATTGCAAATATTAACTCATATAATTAAATGGATCAAAATTATATTAAAATTTTTAAACCCGTGACTCGAATATAAACCTGGCCTAGCCTGATTCGTTTGTAAGCTTAAAACAAACACACCTTTTGTGCCATGCTTAACCGTGCTTATTTTTGGGATCATACCAAAAACCATAATCATAAAAAATTAATCACGCGAATATATAAAAAAGTTAAAAACCTTAGTTTGATATATACACCAAATTATAACACCTACAAAGTAACTTCAATTTATTTAATTTGTTCTCAATTCATCATCTCCACACTAGCGATTGCAATGGGTTCGAGGAGGTCCGGATCCGACCCATTTATTTGGAATTGAGTCTCATTGTTCGGGTATCGGGTCCGGATCCGGGTCAGGTATCGGATCCAAAGGTGGACTATATTCGGATCCGAATCCGATTAATATATTACTAATATATTATTTATATATGAAAAAATTAATTTTAATAATATAAATTATAGTAAAAATATGTTTTTAGTTTTATTTATTATTTATTATTTTATTACAATATTTTTGAATAAAATATATAAATTTTAATATATGTCTGGTTTGAGTTCGGCCTAATTTTAAGTTAAATTTTAAGAATTGTAAAAAAAATTAGGGTCATCGGATCTTGTCGAGTATTGTTCAGGTTGGATTGGGGTATGATCGAGTCCGGGTATAATCGAATTCAATTCGAGTCTCGGGTCCAACCATGTGTATTCAGGTAGGGTCTCTCGTACTCAATCTATTGTCATCCCTACCGCACACTCCATGTCCAACTGATTCATAACTACCTTTAACCGCTAATCGAATTCCATTCCTTTCTTGAGTGGCATTATCAAAATCCAATATCTTCGACTTACTACAGCAACTAAACTATAATCCCTTCTCGATCCATCTTCAGTTTCCCAAACCAAATTCAATGGACAGCCCTCCTCATCCTCAAGAACTCCCCAAATCTCCAGAAGTCCCAAAGTCCCCATCAATGGCGGCAGCAGAAGAATCTTCAATGGCAGAAGAAGCCTCTCCAGAACGCCCCAAAATGGAAGAGGAAAAAGAGTCTCCAGGACATCCCAAATCTCCATCAATGGCAACAGAGGAAGATGCTCAAGAACTCTCCAAGTCTCCATTAATGGCAACAGAAGAAGATGCTCAAGAACTCCTAAAGTCTCAAGCAATGGCACCAGAAAAAGATTCTTCTGAACGTCCCAAATCTCCTTCAATGGAAGCTGAAGATGATTCTCAAGAACTACCAAAGTCTCCATCAATGGCTGCAAAACGCCCCATGTCTCCATCAATGGTGGCAGAAGAAGAATCTTCAAAACGTCAAAAACCTCAATTCGAAACAGAAGATCACTCTTCAGCACATCCCAAATCTTCATCAATGGATGCCGAAGAAGCCGAGTCTCCATCAATGGCGGAAAAAGAAGACTCTCCAGATCCAGAACGCCCCAACTCTCCTTCAATGGCTGAAAAACAAGACTCTCCAGAACCACCTAAGTCTGCATCAATGGCAGCAGAAGACAAATCTCCAGAACACCCCCCGTCTCCATCAATGGCGGCAGAAGAAACACCTACAAAACGCCCCATGTCTCCTTCAATGGTGGCAGAAGAAGAATCTTCAAAACGCCCCAAATCTCAAATGGAAACAGAAGACGACACTTCAGGACATTCGAAATCGGCATCAATGGCAGCAGAAGATGACTCTCAAGAACTCCCAAAGTCTCCATCAGTAGCAGCAGAAGAAAAACCTCCAAAACGGCCCAACTCTCCATCAATGGCGGCAGAAGAAGAATCATCAAAACGCCACAAGTCTCAAATGGAACCAAACAAAGACTCTCCCGAACGCTCCAAATCCCCAATGGCAGAAGAAAAAAACCCTCAAGAACTCTCCAAGTCTCCATTAATGGCAGCAGAAGATGACACTCAAGAACTCCCTAAGTCTCCATTAATGGCAGCAGAAGAAGACGCTCAAGAACTCCCTAAGTCTCCATTAATGGCAGCAGAAGCAGACACTCAAGAACTCCCTAAGTCTCCATTAATGGAAGCAGAAGCAGACGCTCAAGAACTCCCAAAGTCTCAATCAAAAGCAGCAACAAAAGACTCTCAAGAACTCCCCAAGTCTCCATCAATGGCAGCAGAAGAATTAGCCCCGAGAGAAGGCTCCCAAGAACTCCTCAAGTCTCCATTAATGGCACCAGAAGAAGCAGAAAAACAAGACTCACAAGATCTCCCTAAAACTACATCAATGGAAGCAGAAGAAGCAGCAGAAGAACGTTCTGCAAAAGGTCAAGAAATCACTAAGACTTCATTAGTGATTAAATATCCAGACTTTGGTCTTCTCTGCAACAGCATCATCCCTCCTAATGTGGTTCGATATTTCCCTTATAATCCCAACAGGCGGCTGCTGAATCCGGCCATGTTCCAGAACAATTTCTTCAAGAAACCTTACTCCGCCAGGATTCTGCATTCTTGCAATGGCCTAATCCTGCTGAATTGTATGCCTCGTGAATTTCAGAAGCCAGCCTATGCCATCTACAATCCAGCCACCGATCACATCACCGAAATAAAGCTCCCCCCGCTGTTTCTATCGACTGCTTTTAAAGTGTATTTAGCCTACGATCCACTCAAATCTAAAGACTACCAAATTGTTGGCATTCGCTACTTCCGGGAAGGGTACAAGGTCGAACTTTACTCGCCAAAGCTGGACACATGCTTTTTTGCTACTGATTACATGACTAATAAAGTGAATTTTCACAATGGAGTCTATTGCAATGGACGACTTCATTGGTTCTGCGATTCGAGCAGAGGTTCTTCCTGGTATTTCCATATCAACAGTCACTCGCTTCACAAACTTCCGAGTGTTAGGGCTGCTATGTCCTCGGAGGAATCGAAGTTTAAGTGGAGGAAGAACTATTATTTCGGCGAGTCCCGCGGCCAGTTAAGCTTAGTCCCAATCGGATGCTGGATGACAAAGTTTTATATCTACGAGATTCGGCTGGACTACTCTGAATGGACAAGAAAATTCTTTGTCGATCTTTCTGGTTATCCTCAAGTGAACCGTAGCTTCAGTGTAATTGATTTGATTCGTGGCTATGAAAGAACAGAATCTTTCTTGGTTCTTTATCTTGGAGGGAGAGCTCTTAAATACAACCTTGTTTCCAAGAGTGTCGAAGAGCTACCTGGATTTGCTGACTTTCCTTTACGGCTTTATCGTGTGAAAGTGAGGGGTTCATTTGGGTTTCAATACGGAGAACCCTTGTATTAGGATTGAGATAAGACACCATTTCTTGGTCCTTTTTGATATAATTGATTAGATTGTTCTCAAAACATGTTCTTGATTTCGATCAAATTACTTACTAACTGCTCAAGCTGTAGATTTCTGTCCAAATAATTGTGTTGTGTACAGTTCATTCTGTATTCCGAACTTGTGTTTCATGGAATTCTTTTGATCCAAGTTGTGATGTCCAATTCATATGCACCATACGAAAACCCGGTCTAACAGGCCACAAAAAATATTGTTTTTGAGCCTCCAAAAATAGATCAAAAATTTTTGAACCGTCCTCGCCCCCGGGCATGCTAATAACCCGGTTTTGTCTGGGCTTATGAAGATCAAATCGTGACTAGCCCGGCTCATTTTTAAAATTAATATTTAAATTTTAATAATTGTATATAGATTAATTTTGTAAAGAAAGACAAAAGTTAAATTCCATTTCTACTATTTAAATACATTTTGTTCAAAATTAAAATAGTAATTAATTTTTCTTTTAAAAAAAGCGAGCCGACATGGTCCAATTTTAAACTGGGTTATACTCAGGCCGACTTTCAAGGCCCAATTTGCAATCGGGCCATGTGGCCCAGTACGGTTTGAAGTTGTCACCCCTAATGTCACATAATACTAGAATATGATTTGATAATAAAAAAATAATTCAATTAGCCAATTTATAAATTTGTTATGAACACAAACAAGTTTTGACACACAACTTTTTTCTTATGAGTTTGGCAGGAAGAACGCCTGTATAATAAATATTTATATTTTTTAACTGCATTTTGTAAATGAATTAAAATGCTTTTTATAGTAAACATGTTTTTAAAGTCAATTTATTATTGTAACTAACTGACAAATCAGATTGGATCAAATTTTATTTGCAACACAAATCCCACATCTGTTTTGGTAAAGAAAGTTGGCAGACCAGCAAGTATAAAACAAAGCACAGTGGAATCAATAAAAGCATCTTTGCGCTTGGGGCAATGACGCAGCTAGTGAGGTTCTAACCGAGGCGCGTCTATTGCTGGTTGAAAACTATTTCCAAACCCCCTCTTCAGCCCGGGCTTGACTCGGGCTGTCGAGAATTTCTGGAAGGGCTCCTTCTTTGAAGGTAAAGCCCTATAATTTAGTTCTAATTTATTAGTAAAATCATTGATTGATATTGATATTCCCTGGGGATGTCACCAAATTTATGTGTACTTTTTTGTAATATTTTACAAAATTTCTACTGTTCATACCAAATTTTTCTTTTAAGAAAATATTAAATCAAAAACTTATATTTTTACCTATATTATATTATACTAGAAATAAAATTTACCTGTATCAATATCTAGTTTCTTGCATTTCTTATGGACTCCATTCCCACTCTTGATTCTAATTTGTCTTTCTTCACATATATAAACATATTCCCACTCCATTGTGATTTGCATTTCTATTATTTGTAATGGATAAATTCGATGTGAACTTTGTGTTTCATCGATTTCCAAGATCTCGTGAATAAACTAGCAGGCAGTTTTAGCTAGTTCTATGAGACATGACCTTATTATCAGCAATAAATTTATTTTTAAAAATTAATCTCCATACCTAAACTACAAAATTCTCATTAACCCATTCAAAAGTCTAGGTTTTGTTTCTTTGGAATTTTTGGTACCATTCAATTACTTGTATTAATTAATAGAGTATATAACAGTAAAACGTTATTGCAGAAGGAACAAAACAGTACATAAAATCAATTTGAAGGGGCATAAAATCACAATACAACATTGTGTTCAGGTATTCAAAATATCATTACAACCAGAACAAACTTTATAACTCGGGTTAATGGGGCGCGCCTGGCCCAAGCAATAGTGCAAAACCTGGACGACACACAAAGGCCAAGACAGCAAGCAACAAGCCTTTTCCCCTAAAAAATTAATTTAATATCGTGCGAGTCGATGACCCACGTATCAGATATTAAACTGATAAGAACAGATACTACACTTGATCTTAGCCAAAAGGCCGAGAAAGGTATAAATTTTTCTTTCGACAAGCAGCCCCATTTATAGTACCACAGAAGCTGTGCCCTGTGTTATTACAACCAATGTGGGATGAAAATAGTGTAACTTTCCATATAGACTTTTCTATCATAAATATTATAATTCTTGCGAGGGTTATGCTATGCTAGAATTCTATGTCACAGAAAGGTGCCGATGTCTTTTCACAACTTCATATTTTGTTAAGTTTGATTGTGCTGCAATGTGCCCCTGGAAATCGATTGTTTTAGCTCAAAAGTTGTTGAATATATGATTATATCTTGACATCTTTTGGTTGAGGTACTAAATTCAGTTTATTTACTAACTTAAAATTGATACACTTGATTTATTACACTCTCGCGATAACGACTGTAGGTCCCAAACCTTCAACTAATTATGAGCTTGAGGATGTTACATTTTCTTGTTCGTTTCCCATGTCCATCATTAGACATTTCGAATCAAATTTGTTAATTGTCATGAATTAGTGTCAGTGAAATACTTGTTGTAAGTGGATTGTAAAAATTTTTAACAAGTGTGTATGTAAGATATATGCATATAAATTATGTACTAGAAATTTGCAGCTTAATCAACCCATATTTTTCGACATCACATACTTAGTTAAGCTCGATGTTATGCTAATTGTACGAATTGAAATAGCCGAACAAGAGAAAAATTTCTGATACAAAAAAAAGCCATTTCATGGCCCTAAACAACCTGAGTGGTCGAAAAGTGTTATATTTTTGCACCAAAGGTAGAATGTGTTTAGCTTTTTTTTTGCCGTTTTTGGATGAGTCATGCAAAATTCGTTCAATTCCAATTTAGAAAACGAAAAGAAGGAAAAAGACTGACTACATCAGCTGTGATTTAACAGTGAATTGTCAGAAATGAATTGATTCGGGTTAATTGTAAAGATTTTGGCCTTAAACATATCAAAACTGGGTCTTAATTCATAACAAAATCGGCATTTAATTCACGTTAGGTTGTGTGCAGATATGTAAAATAAATGGTATACGATGGTTACTCGATAGTGAGTTTTCCCACTAGACAAATAGATCTGCGAACAATTGCTATATATAATTTGACATACAAGAAGATAAATGCAGACTAATTAACAAAGGATTATCTCTAAACCATTCAATAAAATTGCAAAATTTCAACTATGCCATCTTCTTAGCCAGGACAAATAAAATAAAGCTAGACTAGATTGGTAGAGGGACGCGCGAACGCAGGCCCCCGCTGCCACAAATTATGACGTAGGCTCGACCACTTTGGGCCGACCTTAGGCAGATGCCCTTCCCATGTGCAATGGAGGTCACCAACCTAGGCCATAGACCTTATTGATAGTCCATCGACCCCGTCCAGGTAAGTATTTTGCTCTGTTGCCCTCCTTTTGATTATATACATGCTTTCCTGTTGCTATTTGGTTTGTCCCTCAATGTGGGATATAATAACAAACACTCAATTGCCTTCATCTTTAAATAAACTAAAATCTCAATTTGGTTCAGATGTTTTCTTAAATAGCAATTTGTTTGAAATATTATATTTACAAATGAAATTTATTAAACAAGTTAAATCAAAAAATATATATATATACCTATAAATAGAATTCTAGGTTATAGATTAAATTTTCCCCATTGCCAAGCAAGATTCTCTCTTATAACCCAACTGGTTTTTTTATATGTATTTTTTGCATTTCAATCCTTAAATAACCTAGAGCATTAGATTACATTATAACTTAAATTGTTGGGGGAGTGCCTGGCCCAAGCAATAGTGCAAAGTTTGGGCGACACACAAAGGCCAAGGCAGCAAGCTGCCCAAACAGGTCTTTCCCCTGAAAAAAATTAATTTAATATCATGTGAGTCGATGACCCACGTATCAGATATTAAACTGATAAGAACAGATACTACACTTGATCTTAGCCAAAAGGCCGAGAAAGGTATGAGCTTTAAAAATCGATTCAATGCCTAATTTATAGGAACACAGCACTTATGCCCTGTGTTATTACAACCAATGTGGGATGAAAGCAATGTAATTTTCCATATAGACTTTTCTGTATTGTAAAGGGTTATGTTATGCTAGAATTTTGTCAAGGAATGTCTTGGACAATTTGTAATCCATATTTAAGGTTCTTTATGTTATTTTTTCGCAAAACTTCATATTTTGTCAAGTTTGATTGTGTTGCAAACTGCCATAGCCGTAAACTAAGATTCAATATTATTTCAATACCTGATATGATCGTGGATAAGCTCCGAATTCATTTGGTAAAAATTTCCTCGATCATTGTATCTTGTAGATGAGCTAATGCTGGTCTGTTCTTCATTCGTTTCACTTCTTTATTTCTTTTTATCCTGCCGGACATTTGATATTTGCAAATAAAACTTATGGATGGGTCCTCTGCTTATTGGGTATTGTATTTGATTTGTACTTTAACAAAAACAGTTCGGCTAACGGAATACTGCAGAAAACATACAAATTATGCCGACAAAGCAAATCACATTAGGCGAACCAGATGTGGAAGATAAGTCCCAGAGGCGTAAGGAGATTAAATCCATAAGAGAAAAACAATCCAACTCCTCGTGTGTGAATGGAAATTTTGAAACTCGCTGTTGGCACTAATAACAAATACACAGAAATAACACCCTACTTGTTGATCCGGTTCGATTTTTAAACCTACATTATACCTCTTTTACGACATTTTTAGCACATACCAAACTCAAGTAAATGTTGTAGATTCAATTCTGTTGGAAAATAATTTTATTCTCTTTGTTAGTGAAAAGCCGAAGACGAGCTAACAGAGAAAAACAAAGTATAAGAATGAAATCAGCTTCAGCTTGTCTCCACATTGATGATTATTTGCACAATGAAGTTCAAACTTCCCCCGCTAATATAATCTCTTAAATCATAGTATCACATTATGATTGGTAGGGGCCGCGCGAACGCTGGCCCCCACTGCCACGCTCAACCACTTTAGGCCAACCTTAGGCAGGTGCTCCTCCAAAGTGCAATGGAGGTCACTAACCTATGCCATGGACCTTCTTGATCTCCCATTGACCTCGTCCAGGTAAGTACCTTACTTTGTTCCCCACCTTCTGATTGTATAGTTGCTTTCTTCTTGTTATTTGGTTTCTCCCGATGTGGGATATAATAATAAACATTTTATTGCCTTAGTATTTAAATAAACTAAAATCTCAACAACAGCTTCGACGCTTAAGAGTTTTTCTTTACCTATTCAAATGTTTTTTTAAATAGTAATGTTTAAAATATATTTTAAATTCAATTTTATAATTTTATTTTGAAATATTTAAAATATAATTTTTTATTCTCATTTTGAAATATTATGTTTAAAAATAAAATTTATTAAAGAACTTAAATCAAAATATATGCATATATATATATATATACTTAGTCTTTCTTCATCTAGCTAGTTTTGCTTTTTTTTTTTTTTTTTTTTTCCCACACATGTACTCACACTTTACCCAACACATGTACACACATGCTGTGTACAAGGATTTGATATCTATTTAGTTTGCTTGGCATCTCTGCGCGCGTGTATATATATATATATATGTTAGTCCCTTCATAATGACCGAATGGTACATATTTTTGCTCAATCTTTTTTATTTTTAATGATTTTAAGATAAATAGAACTATTCTGCCTAAATATTATTAAAAAATATAATATATATATAAATTAACACAATATGTATAATATATTTTATCCATTAACAAAAATATACTTCTCCCTCATCCGATTGGATGTTCATTTGACTGGGAAAGATTAAAAAAAATAGAAATTTTCATTTTTGAAAATAAATAAAAAATATTATAAAAAAAATGAGAATAAATTTAAATATCATAAGCAAATAGTAATAATTTAACATAAAATATTATATTTATAAACAACAAAAATTCCATACCTAACATAAAAAAAAAATAAAAAATAAAAAATCCATCCAACCAAAATATATAGAATAATTGAGAAAAGTAATCAAAATTCTACTTAAAATTAATATGTAAATTCTACATATGGTAAAAACATTGTAAATATTTCTTAAAAATAAAGTTGAATGGTCAATTTCAATCAAATCATCGTTATTTTATCTATAAAAGTATGTCAATGAATTAATTGTTAAAAAATTCAAATATTTAGGTATAATATATTTCAAAAAAATCACAATTATTATTTAGTAAAAGATATATATTATAAATTTAAAATTTTAAAAATTATAGACAAATATATATATATAAAAGTGTATTTTTTATAAATTATTTTATTTCAAATTTTAAATTATAAAAATAAAAAATATTATTTATCATAATTATATAAATAAATATTAATAATAAAATAAAATGAATGATTAAATATTTATCTTTGTGCTTATAATGACACAGCTAGTGAGGTTCTAACCAAAGCATGTATGACTACTATTGTAATATCCCAAACTAAAACTAAGAGTTTCTAACCTAAGCATGTATGACTACTATTGTAATATTACAAACTATAATTGGTAGGGGCCGCGCGAACGCAGGCCCCCTCTGCCACAAATTATGATGTAGGCTCGATCACTTTGGGCCGACCTTAGGAAGGTGCCCCTCCAAAGTGCAATGGAGGTCACAAACCTAGGCCATAGACCTTATTGATCGCCCATTGACCCCATCCAGGTAAGTATGTTTCTCTGTTCCCCTCCTGATTATATACTTGCTTTCTTATTGCTATTTGGTTTCTCTCTCGATGTGGGATAGAATAATAATTACTAAAGCAGTGCTTTGCCCTTTATACCCTTCATATTTAAATAAGCTAAACTCTCAGCAGCTTGGTTTCTATTTACAGAATGTTTTCTTTAATAACAATGTTTGACATTTATTTCACTTACTTTTAATTTGAAATATTATATTTTAAAATAAAATTTATTAAACAATTAAATCAAAATATATGTATCTTAGTCCTTCAATTAGCCAGTTTACTTGTGAGATTTTGGTTTTTAAATAGTAAAATTTTGAATTGAAATAGTTGTTTGATGTGATATAAATATGTATTGATGTGATGTTTCAAATGTAAAATTTAATTTTAATTTTAATGTAATATAATAAATAAAAAATAAGTGTTTGATTTAATAGTTTTGAGGAAAAAAAAAAGTTAAAATAGTAAAAAATATATATATATACATATAAGTACTCCGGCGGAAAATTCAAACTAGACACGAATTATGTGTGGCAGATGACTTTATATTTCTTTCTGGATGTGGGATAGGAGAATAAATGTTTGGATTTGGTCTCTATTTACAACCCAAGTATATATTTTTTAAATTATAATATTTAGAAAAATTTCTTATTTAAACTAAAATAAAATAAATATTGGATTGATTATAAATAAATATTGTGGGTTATAAATAAATAAATTTTCATATTAAACAAGAATTTTGAATTAATAATAAAAATAAAAACCGAAAAGAAAACAATCTCTCAAACATATATTATATTGGATAATTAGCCGGTCGGTTGGTTAATTAATCGAGAAAATTTAATTCAAAATCTTTAAAATCTATTATTTAATTGAACTGTGAGTTGTATGATTATTATTAATAATGTGTTTCAGAAGTATGAATTTTGGTAAAAGTCACAAGCTTTGCGGCTCACTTCGACCAAATAATGTAGTTGTTAATTAAGATTTGGACCGGATGAATAATAGAATAGACAATATCTTTCTTTTTTTTTGAAACTTTCGAAACAAAAAATATATATTTTGTAAAATTAATTAGACAAAAATATAGCATGTAAATCTGCAATTGCATACATAAATGATTATAAATTAATAATAATAATAATAATAATAATAATAATGCACAATTGTGAATACAAGTTTCAAAATTCTGTTACACGATAATTAAAAAATCGATCTGATGACACCGATTAATATCTATAAAATGGCCTCTGTGCTCTCATTTTGGTCACACCACAACCACAAGCATTCTTTCTTTCTCTCCTCTTCTCTTCTCTTCCTCATTATAGATCGGAAGTCCTATGGGACTTTCGAGGTTTTCCATTTCTTTCCTCTTTCGTCTTCCCAACATGATCCCATTCTTCTTCGTTACGAATCGGAAATACTCGTATTAAGTTTTGTCCTCGATTCAATATAAATTATAGAATATTTCGATAATTGCTTTTCTTTCGATATAAATTATATAAATATTCAGCATATGAAATTCCAAGGAATCTCTCAATATTCAAGAATTCACTCTTCGAAGATGTTCAAAGGTCAAGATTCTGCATTCCTGCAATAGGCTTCTGCTGCTGCAATATATGCACTACGATGATGAGGCATTCTACCGTCTACAATCCCACCACCAATCATCGAATCTCATGCTCGAGAATCGGTTCTATAGGATTGAAGTTTATCAAACTCACTCTTGTTTTCCAATAACCAAAAGTTCCTTCAATTCGATCTACTGCATATTTCAATAATGGCGTCCATTGGAATGGATCATCAATTGGATTAGTGCAACTTGATTTTTTTTTTTTTTCTAATACAATGTCAACAGTGATAGTTTCAAAAAACAAAAAAAAATCCGAGCCTGCAGCCTATATAGAGTAAGCACGACTTAGATAGACACCGGGATCGAAGCAATTATTTTGGCTGAGTCCTTCGGCCACCTCTACTTCCTTCCTGTGAGATTATGAAAACCTAAGCTTGAATGTGTATGAGATGAAGGATGATTACTCCGAGTGGTTCGTCAAGTATGAAGTTGAATCTTTCTTATACATCATGCATATTACCTTCAGTTTCTACATAATTGCCGTAATTTGGGGTGTGATATAAGGATACAATTTTTAAGAATTTTGAAGTTATCGGCCATGGAAAATCTTTACATATTTTGAAGTTTACATGGTGCAGTTTCGCCTGTAGATATACACAAATGAATTAATTTTCCAACCTTTTCTC